AAATACTTCGGAATAGTGCAGAATTAAGTTTTTTGTCTGGTAACATTATTGTAAAATTCTTCAATTATTCCTTTCTTGGAACTAAAATGCCCCGCCGTAACTGATTCGAATGCGGCCCCCTTCTTTGTAAATTCAATAGTCCCAAGCCACGTGATCTCATGTAGCGCTGCACCGCGGTGCACCGGCCTACCGACTTACTTTTGATGCCGATGATAACTTGTATAAGTGTCTGTTGTTTGACAAAGGGATGGAGAAAAAAATGTTGTTGTGAATAGCAAAATTACAGGCAAACAGCTACACTGTTGCATGGCGTCGGATTAAGGTTTCGCTTAGAACAGAATACGCAGGGCACGGTGAAATCGGGAGCGATGTTGAAGACGCAATTTTCCCGCGATATCTCAATGGTTGGGAGAGTGACACACACGTAGGTATGGCGTTAAAAACAGGCTACAAGATGCACTAAATGATTAACGAAAATACCGAATGTCTAGTTGTGGATTCATCATTCAATCTTGCCTGTGCATAAAAGTGTCGGATTAAGGTTCACTGCCGTTACAGAAAAATGGCATGCACTTGAGAAAGGTAGGAGTGGAACTGTCAACGGTCTACGATAAATTCACAATGGCAGCGGCTACATGTTACGTTGCATTCGGGCAAGCTGATTCCGCCTACATGAAAATCCAGGCACTAATATAGCTTATTTTACGCTTTTCATAGACTGCACCGATTACATACGCTATATGCTGTTGTATATGAACCATTTAGTCGTCTGGCTACGAATTATGTGATATCAAAACGGCCGATTACGCCCCAGGCTTGCAGGCATTCTTCCCAACAAGTTAACGTGCAAACGGTGCCTGTCCTTGGTGCTGACCGCCATCCGCACAATGTTAAACACATAGTGTGGTGAACACCACACGCGCACTCGCTTTTTGAGTGTCCATGAAATACAGGAACTTGTAAAAGTTTGATAAACCCTACGAAAAAAAATAGGTATTCTTTTGAGGGGATTAGAGGTCTTATTGTTAAAAAAACTGCGGGTGGAAAAGTGGAGTGTACTATTCCAAGTTATATTTAACATCACTAAGAAACGAGAAGATGCCGAACCTTTGTATTAGTGTAGTTTTGGAGCTACTTGTACTACAAGCATGTATATTACCTTTTCATCTGTTCACCTGTACTTAGCCCGATAGGGCATGAATGTACAATAAAGGTTATTATAAAGAAAAACGGAAGCGCAGAGAGATTTTAATTAGTGATGTTGTTTATTTCTAATTGAACTGAAGGGCACACATTGTCAACATTTACATCAAAGTTCATTGTCATTGTCATATCGATAGTCATAAAGACATTAAAATCAAAATACTTTTGCTCACACTACTTAAAATCATGACATACGGCATGTCGGTGTGCTTTGTGAAAAATGTTTGTACAATCACGTACAGTTACTCATTCCTTTACACCTCTTTGACAATGACAAGACAGCCCTCTTTACGAGAGCTTCCTGGAGCTTGTACAGCCTTTGTGGCGACCCTTTATCCTGAATGTGCTTATCGTATATTGTCATAGCTTCTGACTTGGCTGTTTCTATGGTCTCACTGAGAAACTGGTTCGCCAGGGGGATCTGTCTGACGATGTCTTCCCAGTTCCCCACTTGTAACGTCCGTCGTACAAGGTCTGCAGTTTCTGAAAGGCACAAGAAGTTTGTTTCAAATTAGTCAGAAGTCTTTTCTCTACTATGATGATCACAATATCTGGACATTTTTGACGCCTTACCATTTCTCATGTTTTCCTTTAAAAATCAATTTAAAAATATGAATATTCTTTGGAAATACAAAAAAAGTAAAAAATATTATAGGATTGAAGGCATTAGAGATATGGCAGGGAAAGGCCAATGAGGATGGCGGGGGGAAAGCGTCGGTGATTTAAAAAACCAAGGAGGTTCTACAAATTTCAGAAAATTGCCGTAAGTCTGATTGGGTGTAGCCTCCTTCGCAGACTTGTTGGGTGGCGGCATTATTGTATCGGTGAGCGACGCGAGTTATGAAGCGGAGGGACGATTTTGCCGCCAAGGAGTTTTGGCCATGGAGAGAAGGTTTCCCGCTCAGTCTATCCCCGGCAAAATTCCCTCGGCGGCAAAATCGTCCCTCCGTGGTATAACTCGCGTCGCTCACCGAAAAAATAATGCCGCCACCCAACAAGTCTGCGAAGGAGGCTAGATTGGGTGTGGATTACTGAAACTATCAACCCCTGGACTCCAATAGACCGCACCGCACGGGAATCAAGAGAGAAAATGTTTTAAAAATGTATGTTGACGCTTTCCTATTATAGAGGCCACGCAGAAGGGTAAATATTCATTCACAATGGGGAAATGTGAGTTATCAATTGTCACAAATCATTAAACACGTCACGGTGCAGAATAGGGGACTCCCCTACAGGTGTGACCCCGTGACGTCATGGCAAATTTTGAAGCAGGCCACGACAGCACCAACCGACAAGGATCTAGGACAGACTTCAGTATAGTAACAAGGCGGCTTAAATGTGTACGACACATGCATGGCTATCCCAAAAATGCCATCAGTTTGCGATCTTAAGCTTGCGAAGACTGTATAACGAAAATGACTGCGCCACAAATAACGGATTGAATACATACGTTTTGCGAAGTTCTGACGGCCTGCGCGTCTAACTTCCTTCACGTAGGCTCGGTATTCCTCCGGTGTCTCATGTTGGGAATGGGTTGGATCAGAGTCTGTCAGACGTTTGGTGTCGGTTGTTGTCCCAGGTTCTATATCCTACAACGGGAATATTAGTCTCATGTTAGTCTTGATTCCTATTATGAACTGACGTCATGACCTACACAATCACTTGTGGCAAAATGCCCAACTGACTTGCAAAAATGAGACATGAAAGCATGTGTTCACAGAAAAAAACAAAAGAATTATAAAATTTCTTGCCTTGTCGATGCGTCTTTCCCGCTGTGTTGGTTGGTCACCACAGAGAACAGACGTCTCTCCGGCCAAAACGGTTCGGCGTAGTTTGCAAGCGCCCGACGCATTCTGTACAACGGGCACACAATAAGTCTGTATGGGTTGTTTTCTACAGATAACTTCCGAACTTGCTTTTCCTCCTCGGAGGTGGCTTTCGTGATCTCTACTACTGTCGCCGAAATCAATGTCTGAAAGCTCGACGTTCTCGCCCGTCGCCTGTTGTGGCCAGCTGTGACATAGAGTTTGTCGTGCGCACTTTGTCCTATGATCCTTTCTGTGTGCTCGGCTTGGCACCCTAGGCCTGTGTCCGGCAGGCAAACGCCAACAGTCGGCGTGGCGCGGCGGCGGTGTGCCTTCTTCCGCCCAGTGCCAGACCCGCACGTCCTCTGTAGAATCGTCCGTGGGGTTAACGGTGTCACTTTCATCGGAATCTGCCCCACACCTTGTCAAGTGGACACAAATAACACAACGTAAGAATCAGGAAAAACACTATAACACAGTCATAAATAGGCAATGTTTAATTTACCGACACCCTACTGCCGATTGACACTAGCCTGGCAGCCAGACCATCGTAGGCTTGCCGGTATATCTACGGTGCTGAGAGTACTCCCCGCCCGCCTAGGTCCATTAGCACACGCCGGTGGTTTTAACGGGGTAACAATTCAATTAGTTCACCTACGAAGGTGGAAGACAGGGCGACTTATATGATACGAAAATCTAGAAAAGCCAGCTGGAAATATCTAGCTCGTCAGGAGAGGCCTAGAGTTAGGACTGGGGCCCGTAAAACACTCTTAGCTTGCCTATGGGTGACGCTAGTACTGTTATGTATTAAAAGGAAGGAGCACTAATAATATATAGAAGCAATGATATTGTCTACTTTGGTCTGTAACACTCCTCTTCCTTTGCTACTCACGGAACTGATAAACGCTATAGATATATGGCAATAAGTATGATGAAGATTTAAATAAATGTAACTCTCTTGTCTCTAGCTTTGAGACGCCAACGTTAATATACCTGCACTATCTGCACTGGTACTACCTATTTACAAAATGACATACCTGTGCTGGTTGTCGCACCCAGTCATGATAAACTGTGGTCCTGTGGCTGGATGTTCTTCTTCTTCTTCCTCCCTTATATACTGAAACATCTGGATAAAAATAGAAATGAGCTTCGGTGGCAGCCCCAAAAGGGGAAGTGTTTTGTGTTTAAAATGAAACCTGACCAATCTGAGTTTCTATGGGCGGAGCGAAAAGAGGAACTGTACAGAAACTAAAAACAACTGGAAAGTACCACAAAGAGGAAGAGACAAAGGCCACAGCGCTACAGTTTCGGAGGCGGAGCGAAAAAGGGAACTGAGCTCATGGGTCGAGTGGTTGATCCGAAGTGCACCTATGACTCATCATGACGTCATGGGGAAACACCTGTAGGCCATCCCCCTGTCCCGCTTATTACAAGTTCTTGGTTAGTTATAGAATTTTTGAGAGGGAGAGAGAGCTTGGTATACAGTTTAGATTATCAGGTTATCAGATTATTAAAGTGTGCGTGGTTGGCTGAGTTTTAAAAGTTACTTCAATCACTGAGCAACTTTCTGGGTTCGCGGGTAGTGAGGTAATAAGGTAAGGGTGATAATTACGTTTTTGCACACTATATATACTTGGTGACCAACGTCTTGACTGTTTATCCGTATCAGAGTTGTTGCTAACACTATTCAGGTGCTATCAGAATTATCTGTTTATTGATTTTTTTTCATGTTTTTGTTGTACTACTGCCATGACTGCTTACCATGCAGAATTTCATGAGTTATGCGTGGCTAGCGTTTGAATAACATTTATCAATGTGTTTATAAATGGAGGCACAGCCCTTGAACCCAGTCTGATATATACAGTTTACAGAAGATGAAGATAGTTATACAATGATAATTATACACAGCAAAGAATATATGGATCTTTTTGTTTTCAATTGCTGGATGTCTGAATCGCTATCTTACACGAACCTTGGAGTATCCGAAGAATATATCAACAACAACCGATAAATGTCACCCGTCACAAACCTTCACTTTTTCGGTTTATTTGGGACGTTTATTATTATCGCAATGGACTCATTGATAGGCGGCTTACAATTGTACATATACGCAAGACCGAAGCGTCGTGCAAAATGAAAAGTGTAGCAGATGAGGGGGTGAAACTAAGTACTATGCTCATGCTTGAGGATAAAAATGTGATTTGCTTACGAGGCCAATTAAAAAGAGGAACTATCAACTTTTTTCAGGATAGGAATAACCCTGAATGACCCCTACCAAAAAGAGGAACTTATCAAGAGTAGTGACTCATATCTTGGCAAGGTGGACAAAACGTAAAAAAAAGCACCTGTGGCACACATTACCAAAAAAAAGTGCATGGGGTTTTCCGCAATTTTCACTACATAGCCCGGCTATTTTCATATATCGCTTCGAGAGGTCACGCAGCTTTCGGGTATCTTCAGTTCTTGAGGCTTTGTCACATAGTCCATAATAACATCACAGTTTCTGATAGAGGGTGCCAAGGTAAGAGTCATTCTTTTGCTAAAATTGCTGCATATGACAAGGCTCTACATTCATATCGTCGGTTCCCTTTTTACATGAAATGCATATGATGCCCTCTATGGATATTTTTTAACGCAAAAGTCAAAACGCAAATGGTGACTTACATGTAGATCATACTCTATGATATACAATTGTAACTACGTGTTAGCCTTCGATATTAGCTGCAAGAAACATGACCTTAAAATACATATATCAGCAAAAGAACTTACGACAAACTACATGTTGGCCATTTGTTTCTAAATGAGAACACATATGGCATGAGAGCACGCGATACGACGTCGCGCTTTTGAACGGCAAAAACAAGTGCCTTCCCAAGCACTCCACCTCTAAAATTTATTATAAATTCTTAAGCTACATATATCCTCTGATTCCTTTTACGTCACATTGAATAATTTCTATTTACTTTACTTTTATTGTAGATGTACCGGATCCATCATTTGGCTTTCTTGAATTTGCCAGATTTATAAACGTTCTGTTGTTCTATTGTTGAAAAGTCGACGCATACATGTATGCAAGTGAGCTAGGGTTTCGTGCCAATGACCTTTAGCACCTAGCCTGGTTACCATTCTCCACAGGCTTGCTAAAGTTTTTTTACTGGCCCTAGTCCTGCTAGCTATGAGCTACGGGTCTGAGTGAGTGAGTGAGTGAGTGAGTGAGTGAGTGAGTGAGTGAGTGAGTGAGTGAGTGAGTGAGTGAGTGAGCGAGCGAGCACAGGCCTCTTCTGACATGCCAGATCTTTCTAATTATTGCCGTCATTCGTAGGTGAACTAATTGAAACCGACCCCGTAAAATCCCCCGGCTTGCGTTAATTGACCTGGGCGGGCGGGCAGTACTCTCAACACCTTAGAGATACCTGACGGCCTACGATTGTCTGACTATCAGGCTAATGAGCTTCCGCGCGTTTGGTCGGGGTTTTCCGACAACAAAATTAGAAATGGATTACGCATACCTCACTTTTGACTGAAAAAACATTACGTCCAAACTTGCCCACAGAACAATGGGCCATAGAAACTCGTGTGTTTGTCACAGTTTCCTGCAGTTCCTCTTTTGGCCTACACCTGTCGAAACTTATTCTATTGTTTAAAATGTGTTCCTCTTTTTTTCTGTCAATCATTCTAAACGCCCGCCCTTACGTTCAGTCTAAAAATACTTGAAGGGGGATTCTTAGGATGACGAATGCTTGTCATTATAAGAGAGAAACGAATTCATTCGTGCTTGCGGATTTCAGGTGGGCTGTAGGTGTTCGGGTTGTTTTCCATACTAAAGGACAGGGCTGCATTTTAATGAGAAACATTGTAAAACTGACTTGAAGCCTTTTTGTAATACTTACAGGGTGCTTATTGAACCTTCGTCAGGTCTTATACTGGAAAGACAGTTAACTTTCAGAATGCCATGCAATTCTTTCAGTGTAGCTACATCGTAGTTGCTGAATGCTTCCATTGTGATTTTTCAAGTTAAATGGTAAACATAGGGTGCTTTTTAAATTCTTTAATTTTAAAACCTATTTTTCAAATCTCATGAGGAATTGATTTGGAGTCCTTCATTTTGAATTTATCAGTAATGTTATTTCAGAGAGTTATGTTTTTCTTTTTACTCAATTTTAAACATCATGAGAAGACAATCCTAACTAATCATGTACTTTTTCAATTCATTACCTCCCCACCATACAGGACTGAGGCACGTTTCGTCACCACAGAGTAGCTTGGCAAGGTTCTCATCCTGTCTCAGGAACACCTCAGGACAATTGAGCTCTTTATACACAGAGTGGGGTACCTGGCTCAAGTGTGGTTGGGATATAGAAAGCAGAGTCCATCACAGTACTAAGTTACAAGAACTTATCTCGGAGGACTCTCTTTCTTAGCACTGATACCATCACAACAGGATAGAGAAAGGGAGAAGGCACCCACCATCCAGGCTCCCAGAACCTTTGGTTAGCCCCTTTGGGGTCCACAGTCTGCCCTCTATCTCAACCCGGTGTTAACCAAGAAAACGGACACGTACAGGACACATTGACAGTGTAGTCCTCCTTCCGTCATCTCCAAGCTGATCTTTCGGTGGCTCAAGACAGTATCAAATTGGGAAGACAGTATCCAACTGGCAAGACAGTGTCCAATTGGCAAGACAGTATCAAATTTGGAAGACAGTAACCAACTGGCAAGACAGTGTCAAATTGGCAAGACAGTATCAAATTGGCAAGACAGCATTCAATACGCCAAACACCAAAAAAAAAAAATTAAAAGAAGTGTAGCCCTCCTTCCTTACATCAAGGGAGTATTTGAAGAGGATGACATGTTCGGATCACAGCATCCCCTGAATTCTCCATCTCCCAGTACTAGTACCCAGCTATCACTGACAGTCATCCAACCGTTAAACGTTCTTCACTAAGTAGTGTCTACTGCCAGGCAACAATCCATGGCTCCCAAGCATCCCGACATGGCAGATGAGCAGGATAGGCTTAGCACCTTTTTCCGGTGGCCATCGTATGCTCCAGTTAGCCCACCAGTGCTTGCCAAAGCAGGGTTTTTCTACACATGTGAGTATAATTGTATTATACTGTTATACATGAGAATTTTTTTGCTTCTGTTGATAGGCAAGAAATTTCTCACCAGTGAACTTAACATGATTCAACTTGGAAGAATATTCTAAGAGAAGAAAATTGTGACTGAATCTATTATATGTCACTCATTGTTAAATACATGTAATGTTACAATAATGTTATTGCAGGTGTCAGTGACCGAGTCCGATGTTTCTGGTGTGACGGTGGACTGAAAGACTGGGAACCGGGTGATGTCCCATGGGAGGAACATGCCACGTGGTACCCAGACTGTGAGTTCTTGCGTCAGCGGAAAGGGGATGCCTTTGTACGAGCGGTACAGGCCTCTACTCCCTACTACCTACGAGGACAGCAACATGTACAGGTATGGATGCAATTTGCTAAAAATCTAGGAGAAAAAACAAACACTCATGAAGAAGTTTATATCCATACAATTGTTTGAAAATGGTGTTGATACTAATAATATGGTAAGCAGGAGCTTTGGTCTAGTGCAGACTTTTTCCCAGTTTTTATTTGATTGTAATACATTGCATTTTCTGAGGTAAATAGATAACAGGTAAAAACTGGAGACCCCAAGACACTTACAACACCTTTTTTTTGGTAATGCTGACAGAATTCTGACTGTTGTACAAATCTAACATGACAAATTTGTCGTTTGTTTCACAGCATGTCCTTGATTCAGTGCTTGACTCCAGGTGGTACCTGTTCAGAAGTGCCCTGGGACAGCTGCAGCTGTATGACAGTCACCTGCGGATCAGCCTGCCCCTCAGCAGTGGGAAACACCGAGACAGGTTCCAGGTGCTTCTTCTCGTGAATGGCCAGGCTATGGTGGTGGATGTCGCCTCAGTGGAGTTTCCAAAGAATCCACCATCTACAGAAACAAGAAGGTAAGTTCACAATTTGTCAAGAAAAAAGTGAAAAATGTGAAATGACTTTTGAAACTATGATGGAAAGTATGGACCAGGTGAATTTCTACGTTTTACATATTGTCTACAACATGAATATCCTACATGTACATCTGAGTTCAAAAACATATCAGAAATTCGAAATTTCTAAATATATACATGTTTTCAATTTCAAATCTTAAATGATATTAGAGATGTCTTTGTGGATGCTTTATATGATTTTGTGTGGTGCTAAATTTGTTTATGACTGATACAGAAGACTTAGTACCGGTATGCATTTTGAATATCCAGACAGGTTTCTCTTCTGTTGGAAGATGAGACAGCTGTGATGGAGAAACTACAGGAAGTTCTGTTCACCAACAGCTCAGGGTTTCCAGACTTGCCATGTGGGATCAGGCCCGGACAAATCTGGTGAGTATTAAAATCTAATTCTGATGCAAAAGTCTGTTAAGATTTTATCCTGAAAAATAACTAATACATGAATAATAGCTGCAATGCTACATTCAAGTCTATTTTTAGAACCTAGAAAACAGAACAACACTGATTAGTCATAAATTAATTTGCCTGTACAGCCTACACAGACTGGACAGACAGAAGAAGGTTGTTGTGAGTTCTGCTGCCCATGCCAACTCACAGCGTGGCACGGTCTTGGTGGCACCAATCAACGAGCTGGGGACTGCAGACATCAACCAAATCACCTCAGCAAAGAAGGTAACTACATTGTATCTAAGACAAACAAACAAACAAACACACACATACATGTACATGTAGACCTACATACATGTACACATGAACACAGCCACACAGACTCACACAAGCACACACTCACACACACACTCTCTCACATATGCACACATACATCCACATACTGTCTCTCACGGGGGTGCACACACACACACACACACACACTAACACACACTTACATCCACCACAAGGAAATGTCTACTTCATTAATATTGACTGTAAGGGAATGAAAACACCATGAAGTAACATTGTAACAACAATTACAATACTGGTAACAGTTAGATTTGAATTGAATAGAATTGAGAGTATTTAGAGTATGACGCTGACCTTTTATCCACCCTCAGGATGATCTCCTCCCCACCAGTGATGACCAGTACTATGACATCGCCAGGCTGTTGGACGATCTGGACAAGAGGTTCTTCTCTGCTCTGGGACCAGACCCTCGACAGGTAAGGGAGATATAACAAACTTGTATGGAAAGGAAATACAAGTTAGGAACTTAGAATTTTATTAACTTCTTTGTACAATGTATATTATAATATTTTAATATCATTCTGCAAAAATGATAATGCAAAGTTGTTTGAAAATGTAGTAGAACGTTTTTGTCAAATGTCAAATGTTTTCATTATTTTTGAAAATACACGTAATTGTATCTTGTTCATACATGTACCAACATGACAAAACGATAGCAACATGTGCACCAGTGTTCATATACATGCACTTGTATCCTCATACACAGATCTGCATGGATCTGGCGAACATGTCTCTACCAAACCCCACAAGGACAGGCAGTAGAAAGCTGCCACTGGGTAAGTGTTCCCACATAGAGCATCCTAGCAGAAAATGATTACTAATAATCAATGATCTATATAGCCTATGTGCCATTCTTTGTAGTCACCAGGTAACCCTAGCTCTCTCTCTTTTTGCTTGCACAAGCAAAAAGATGGAGCTACATGCAGTGGTAGCTACAGAGGATGGCACCCAGGCTAAATGATCATTACCTGATTTTCTGGCTATCTAATCATGTAAAGTTGTGAAAACACTTAAAAATCTATCAAGAAAAGTGATAATGGTAAATGTGCTCTTGCAACATACAATGTAATGCACAATGTCAAAATTTGATAAGTATAGTATTATCCATTGCGGTAACTTTTATATATATATAATAATAGCAATATTTGACTCTCAAAAAGGAATGGCACTCCTACTACATGTACCTGTAGTAGCCTCTAATCAATTAAACACATTTATCCCTAGGTTGGCTTTCAGAACAAACCTTGCAGAGAGAAGTTTTCAGTGAAGTCATCTCAGCACGGGCTCATCTGGAGTACGGCCCGGGTCACATTCCCAAGTCAACCACCTTCCTCCACACTGTGGACCAACGTGGCCTGAGACAAGAGTCCAGGAGACTCCAAACCTTCATGGACTGGCCTCGGTCCACCCCTGTCAAGCCAGAACACCTGGCAGCAGCTGGATTCTTCTACATCGGGAAAGGAGACAACGTGCAGTGCTGCACCTGTGGGAATGTGCTCAATCACTGGAGGGAGGGGGATGACCCAGTGCTAGAACACTTCTACCGCTTCCCAGACTGTGAGTTTGCAATCGGTTATGACGTTGGGAACGTCCCAATATCATCATCGCTGGAACCCCGACAGGAGACTGTTTCTTCTTTAGAGAAGGAACTTGACAGACTGAGGGAAGAGAGAATGTGTAAAATCTGCATGGAGGAGGATGCTGTGATTGTGTTCCTGCCATGTGGACATCTTGCAGTCTGTCAGACATGCTCTGCCACCCTTCACAATTGCCCTATCTGTAGGAAGCAGATTGATAGAACCGTCAGAGCATTCATGTCTTGATTCTAAAGCAAGCATCTGTTATTTCCAACACAAAAATAGAAATCACAAGGAACTATGAGAAACCACAAGGAATCAGGAGACATCACACTTCTTCTTTCATTGAGTATCTCAGTATCTGGATGTCTACCCTCCATCAACACATCCTGGGTACTTCTTTGTGATGTCTTGAGGTTCCTTGTTATTTCGTATGGTTCCTCTGGTTCCTTGTGGTTTTTAACTAAGGTCACACTGACTTAATTTTGTGGATGACATCCTCTGAAGACCCCGAAACTAGTGTGTGTGGGCAAATCAAACAATTCTAGCCCAAACAAAATGCTGTTAAACCACAGGAATACAAATTTTAAGGTTACCTTATTGAGAATTTAATGCATGTGCAGAGATGTCTTCCATAAAACAAAATCAGTGTTGCCTTATTAATTCTAACCACATGAAAGCACAAGGAACCATGAGAAACCACAAAACATATTATGATACTTATTATAAGCTTCTTCTTTTTCTTAGTCATGATGCCTCATGGTTCCTTGTGGATACTCCTGGAATTGAACAGTAAGAAGATGATACAAAGTCCCTCCGGTTATAGTGGGACCTGACTATAGTGATTGGGCTGAAACCTGCAGCAGTATACACTGTGAGATTCGGAAAAGAGAACAACAATGAGAAGTCCACCAGTCGTTTGACTTTTATCTTGTGCCCTATCGGGATCATTAAATTGTTTTAAAAAGTATCACGTCTTGGTGTTGTTATTCTGTTGTGACATGAGACAGGATGCTGAAAAGACCAAGGTTTTCATGCCTGGTGGTCAAACGTCCTCTATATTTTCAGGCAGTTAAAAAAACTTCTAACACCGAACACCTCTGACAGTATTTTATTCTAGCATATAAAGTAACTCCAAAGTTAGAATCGGGTTGTAAATCTGAGTTTCAAATTAGCAGATGCGTAATATACTATGTACATGTATAAAGCTGTCCTCATACTGTAAGCTAATCAGGATGCCTTGCTAATGAAATTCAGGCCAATTGATGTAAAGCAACTTCAAGTATCACCGCCATGATAATTTGGCAAATAACATCCATATCAGCAAACTACTGTACCCCATCTCCAAAATTTAAGAAAGTACACATACAAGCTTCAATCTGCATTCCTTATACCAAGGAGGTTTAACTTGCTAATATTATTATGATGACAGAAAAATTAGACAGAAAACTGTACATGGACCTTTATTCTCTGTTGCCACAATTATTCAAAGAATAGGCAGACACCATAGTTCTACTATTTCACAAAAATACTGGCGCATACAAATTCATACAAGCACCTAAGATTTAGCCACTATTGAAGCACTATATAGACTCTATAATTAAACTCAAATATAAGCCAGAAAGTCATATATTCTATCATATACTTTGTCAGTACCAAACATTATGCATAGAAGTTCATAAACGGCAAAATATATAATTCTATAAATTCTTCTTCCTTAAATCTAAAAAAAGTTTCAAGTAAAAAAGCAGAACACTCGACTAGTACACGACTAATTCACAAATTATTATACCTGACTATATAATTATCATACCATTCTATGGCTAGTACAATTAAGCAAGGTGCATAGGTTGAGTACTGGTATTTGCTGCAAGTTGTGAAATTATGGTAGTTTTCACAAATTTTGGCATAATTCTAAATCACCACAGTCCTTAAAATCTCTAATATGGCACTGGGATATTATCACTTTTTTTTCTTTCTGCTCTCACTTGAAATACAAACATCTAGAGAGTATTAGAAATAAAAACTTATTATAATAAGCAACTAATCAATGCAACTGAAATTCTAAAGCATATTAAGCATACTGAAAGAAACATATATATAAAGAAATTATGGTGAAAGGTGGAATTTGTTCGGAAATTAAAATCAAATTTTTCTTCTTTGCTCTGAATACTGTTAAGGGGATATTGTTATGTACATGAAAGTAATATCGAAAGACAAAAGAAAAAGAGGAATGTATCAAATTTTACCTGGAATATTATTGCTTTTGTCGTGTCTTGGCTATTATTGGTGGGAAAGGCTTACTTGGCAAGATATCGACTGTGTACAATATTTACAAATAGCTTCACCACTAACAACATATACGTAACCCAAAGTTCAACAATCCACAATTGCATGGAATATTTGCACTTGTCTAAGTTTAGTCTTGTTCTAATAGTAACCTGTTGTTTATAGTTAAAAGTGCATGACAGTTTGAATATTGCTATTATTGCTATTAACCTTTAATATCAATCTCTACAGAAAATTGCTGGCAATGTAATGCACTTAGTAACATGTTAAAGTATGGGTAACAGTCAGATTTGGTGATGGCATACCCAAGGGCCAAACATGGTTTAATCTAGGTTTACAAAGTTTCTTTACAACATTGTAAAGTACAGATTTTTAGACTTCATTTCATAAACTTTTACATTGTTCTTAGTGCCATGACTTGTGCATAAAATATCCAAATGCTGACATATTTGCATGGCTCTGTATAGTATAATTCTTTTTCGAAATGGCTTTTTTTTTTCAGTAAAATCACGTGTCAAAGAATTGGTTGATACAATTGAAAGTGGCTATCACTTCTGATCATGAATTCCTTCAGCTTTGAGGAAAGATGCAGACATTGGCAGTATAAAAATCCCATTCCAAATAACTGCTAAATTACAATACTTCCTTGTAAATTTGCACAATATGATACATTTAACACCCAGAAGGCACAACGGCTATGGCATAAGACAATTCTCAAACTACATGCATTCATACAGTCATGCAAACTCAGCCATGTTTGGGATTGGGTTCTCACTGCAAAAGCGCCACCTACACTGGCTAAATATAGCGGCAAGTAGCAGAACTCCAGTCAGAAGCTCGGAGGAAGGTGTCTAATAGAAATGAGGTGAGAATCTTTACTAGTTGTGTAAAAGACAATCCCAATATCCTACATGCATGGGGCAAGTAAAATGTTTCCTTGCATAAAGGACTTTTTTTCATGGACTAAATGCATTCACAAATAAGACATTGTGTGGGCAATTCATCCTGAAAACAAGTACCAAGTTGGACCCTTAACCATATGGAGCTGAGAGTGTATCTGGACAAATTTAGCTGCTCCAGAACAGCTAGGCTGCTAATGGTTAACATGGGGCCGGAATACACAATTTCGGTGTAATTTAAGCATTCAATGTACGTTCTACTACTTCAACTGAAGTTCAATACATCAGCAACTGCACATGCAGTTACATGTGTCTCCCTTTTCCTAACACCATTCTAAAGCTAATCACAAGCAAGATCAGTTGATTGCATAGTAAAATGGCTTACTTTGGTCAATAGATAGCACTTATAACACAGCACTTGATTAGGCAGCACAGGATATATTCTGCAAGTCAAACTAGCAGCTGTAACTTTAAGAGCACTTGGCATGGAATGAATTTGATCATGATAAACAATTTCTGGAATGAGAAGATGTACTGTAACAGTACTTATGATTATTACATGTAAATTAGCAAATACAATGTTCTTTTGTTTTTATCAATGATCAGTGGAATGAACTTGCAGCACTTTGTAGCAATATTGTGCTGGTTGTGACAATCAGTTCTAAAAGTTACTGAATTTTAATAACATTCTACATACGTATGGTGTTCAACAATAAATCTTCCTCTACACATCGATCAATTGCTACCTTTAAAGGAAAAAGTTAAGAACAACAATTTGTTTTTAAATTTCTTTGAGTTGCAACAATAGAGTAAAAGGCAGCTGGTTTCTAAGCACATACATTTGTACACCATCCACGGTCACCACAATGGTGCACATTAGCACAGAAGGATCGAAAAACGATTATCAACCAAGCCCCAGAAAATGGACTGAAAAACAGCCTTTCGTCCCAAAGAATAATTACTAGTAATATATTAAAAGCACGGATACATGTAACACCATGTTTGCTGCTTTGCTATAATACTTATCATTCTTACTGGTTCCATCTTTACCAAATATCTCCATAAATTTGATTTCTTGACCATTGACTATAGGAAGCTTGTAACTGGCACCTTTGTCTTGTCTCATGAATCTTCAGCTTGTCTTGCCACACTTCTGAGTAAAGCTATTCCTTCTCACCAATCATAATAAGTAGTCTTTTTCACAGTCTTCAGATTCCTGTCTTGCCCATTCAGACGCAATTTTCCTCCTCCTTCTAAAATGTCTTTAAAACACACATCTCACCTTCTCTTAAACCTCCATCATCACAACAAGTCCTTCTCTTTTATATGCATGACTGTTAAAAGCATTCAATTTCTCATACCAACCCCTTACACTTCCCACAATACCTTGCAAATCTATCCCATCATGCCGTGGACTCCTTGGCCTGTGCCACCGCGATGTTGATACACTGTAACCACTGTTCAGCATTCTTACTATCCTTAGCCTTGAAGACATACGTTTTGTTGTCAGTGAAGATTTCGAAGGCTCGCGGGATGTTGCGATCCCTCTTCCTTACCACCTTGACACTCTGGACTTTGCTGAGTTCGATTGGTAAGGCATCCTTTTTCTGAAAAGTTCACAAAAATTTCTAACTTTACAGTTGCTACTCTTAAAAAAGGTTTCCGAGGTAAAGTTTAGTCTACATCAAGAGATGACAGTGAATGGAGAAAAATTTTGTTTCATCCTTAGAAGTTACAATCCAAAAATCTTGATTAATTTTGAATATCAAGGCTCAAGATACTACTTCCTGTATACATGCACTAACATACAAAATTACCTGTAACAGACAAATTATACCTGCAACACTACGTCAGAGAGACCTGCACAGCTCCAATTCTACCAGCACTAACCTGCATGTGCAGGTGGCATTTTGAGCCCCACCACAACTAAACACACAGGAATATTATATATAATTTTGGTACTTGTAAACTCACCGATCTGGACTTCTGCACCAGCTGTGCGCCGGCTAAGGTGAAGTACCTGGTTCTCCAGCGCCGGATGAACTTCCAACGAACCTTCTTCTCCTTCAGCTGACCTTCAATGAGTGGCTGGCCCTCCTGTAGAAGGCCTGGGGAAGAAAACAACACTCTGGATCATCAAACAGAACTCTAGGGTACCCTAGTATAATACTAGTAACATCCACATAGGTGAGTATACGTGTATAACTGCTTTGGGATTCTTGGTGTCCTATCACTTATCGATCATTGCACATGTGCACATTTTTCAGACTTGCATAACAAATACATTTTCTTATTTTGTGGTAAGTTTCAAAAAGAGTTCATAGAAAGTTGCAGGTTGCTGTCACTCTTTTGACAAAAGCAGGGTTTTCTAAACAAAAGAGGTAACATAGGTGTCATTAGATTAAGCTTGTGTAGCCTAATGTGTCTGATTTCCAGGCTACCTGTAGCCTTGTCAGGATTGCTGCACATGAAACACTCCCAGTTGTCCTCTGATTGGTCGTAAGAAAACAGGTCAAAGAAGCGAACCTCGTCAAGCTGGCCATGTAACATCTCTTGGTCCTGAAACGAAAAAAAAAGATAACACTATTTTCACAAAAATGTCCTGGCATTGGAAAATGAAATTTTGGCAATGAATGTTCCTTCAATGAAAAAGTCATACTACAAAGCAGAGGAAACAATATATTACAAATCCATAATGTTACCCTTTCTGAAGGGAAGTCTGACTGCATGATGTGTCCCTCCAGTGTCAGCACCCCTCTTCTCTTGATTCTCTCCCACTGGGTCAGTAAGGACTGTATTCTCGCGTCCTGCTTAGAGAGGGCATTTCTTTCCTTTGCCTGAAAATTCAAACAAAACACATATTTAAGGACAAAGAGACTTACTGTAACCAGTTGGAACGTGTCTTCTCTTAACTGCAAACTCTCCAGTACAATTTGCTTTGTACAAATCAGGTAATTGTAAGAACACAAAGTAAAGAAAAAAGTAAATGCAGAAAATAGTCATCCATGGAGTAGAGAGGTGGCAAATATATAGACAGGATTCTTAATGCTTGGTTCAATGGGAAAAATAAGCTGAGACCACCAAAAGATAGACACTGTACTTCCTCAGTTTGTTTACTGTTTTACTGATCACTTGTTTGTTTGTTTGCTTATTTGTTTGTTTGTTTGTTTCCTTACCTGTATGTGCAGGAACATAAGATGTAGCCAGAGTTTGGGATGTCTGCTCATGGTGATGAACTGTGTTCTGGAGTACAGACAATGCTCATCCTTCTTTGCACACATAAAACCTAGTCGGGCTAAGGAGCCGCTTTTTGTATCTGGGACAAAAAGAAAAAAATTGAACCTTAATTAAGAATCAACAATCAATTAAATCAGAGTCACTATTTTTCAAGATGGCAACAAACCTGTAACAAAATTGTGCACATGTATTATACAAAATAAAGAAATACTGACAGTACATTGACCTACCTTCTATTGCACAGGAACATGGGATAGGTACTCGGCAGTTGACCTCTGACATGTAGTCCTTGATGTCCTCCATTTTGCCCTTGGACCAGTCTTGAAGGGCATCCATTTCATCATTGGTCTGCAATCAAATGTAAACATTACAACTCTTCTTCATCACAACTCATCATTTGCCCATTAAGTCCTTTTTGTTGTAAAATTTCAGTTTATGCTGTAACAGTTATATCATGTAAGATTGATTTTGTTTCTGATAATCAAAAATTTCACATCATACCATGCATATGAGGTGTATTTCACGCTAATGGCAAATCACAAAGAGTCAGATTTGTCGACCCTAGCAGCTCTCTATGATACTGCAGCACAACTTAGTGTCACATGCTCTTAACACCCTATTGGACATCAAAAATAACTCATAAGCAACGGTCATTTTGTACCTTGGTAAGGGTTTCACTAGAGCCTCTCTCTGACTTGTCCGAACTGTCCCCAAAGTTGATGATTCCCTTGATCTGGTCTGCCAGGCTTTTCCGCTTCTCCGTGTTGCGGATTTTTTCAGTCGCCGCCTTCTTTCTGCTGATGACCTTTGCCCTGACACCACTTGGGGCGGGGTCAGGGGTCATCCTCTTGATGATGACATCGCTGCTGAGGGATATTCTCTTCTGTAAGAAAAATGTCATTATAAGTTGATTAGAAATTATTCTTTGCAGTACCTTAGGGTGCAACCTTCCCCACAAGATTTCAACATTTTGATCTCTGAATCATGAATTGACATACTGATACCTCTATATCAATTTCTCTCCCCAAATAGGACTGAAAACTAATAATTTTTAGTTATAAAACTATTGATCTTGAGATCTCACCAGTGCCACTGGTGAAATGTAGTAGATGCTACCTGAAACATCTGACCGTGTCCAAAATCATATCCAGTTGCTTGAGTACTAGTAACTGTTTTTTGAGGGGAGTATTCGAACTCACCCCTTCAAGTGATGCGGCTGATCGCGGCCTCTCCTTGGATCTGTACGGTAAGCTGCTGGTACTGCCGGGGCCAGAGGTCATCACCATGGCGCTCGGCCCCGGCAACGACGCCGCCAAGTGCGACGACGTGGAACTGGCGCTGACGGGAAGCGTTTTCGGCGGGGACGGAACAAGGTTAGGGTTCGATGTCGTGGTCTGTGTGGATGTCGTCGATGTTCGCGTTGCGGTGGTCTTAATGGAGCCGGTGGAAGTGGAGAGCCCCTGTGTGGACAGCGACGGTACTGCAGCAGTGTGGATCATTCCATTTGTAGGAGTGGGGGAGCTGAATCTCTTCACTGCTTTACTGGAGGAGGAGGAGGATGGAATGGACTGTTCCAATGACACAGGGCGAGGTTGTCTGATGGCAGTGTTTCTAATACTGGGGCTGGGGATGAGGTTGGGGTTACTATGTGACTTGGTCCCACTGTGTCTTTTAGTAGGAGTGGCGGAGGTGGAGGTAGTAGTAGTGAGGGAGGCAGGTGATTTACTTTCATGAGGGGGAGAGGTCTGGGTAGGGGTTGTGGTGGGGACAGAGGATGGGGAGGTGGTTGCCAGTTTGCCGTCAGTAGTTTGGACAGCTTGAGGTGTTGGACTTGTGGCAGGACTGGGAGCTTCCTTGTCTATGGCCCCATCTGGAGTTGGGGTGCTCCCACAACTGTGAAAAGAAAGAAAAATACTTAATATCTACCTACCAGACTTACATAGATCCTTTATGGAAAAGGTTTTTCTTGTCTACAAACAGTAAAGGAAGTTAAGAGAAAAAGATACCTCTGCAAAAAATGAAGAATAAAGTATCTATGGGACTTTATTGAACTGGCTAAGGTTTTGTAAAGGATTTCAATGTTAAGAAAGTCCTTGGCTTGTCCACAATAACATGGAAAGTATTTTACATAAGATATGGATAACTAACACTAATACAATATAAAAGGAAAGCAAAATTGCATCCGTGAACAGAAGTTTGAAATCAACTGAAATAAAGAACTGATCATGCAATTATAATGTCTTGGGCCTAGTTTAACCTTCTCTCTGTTAAAGCCTTTTGAAACCAGACTTGTAAGTTGTACTCCTTATGGTACTTATCAAACAGGAGGTTAATTCAGCATACCAAAATAATAAGGATAGGAAAACCCACCTTCTAGCTGCTTGTTGCTGCAGCTGTTGAACAATAAGCCTGGCAGCGCTGGAGGACGAGTCATTGTATCTGTTGATCTCCTTGATGTGATCGGTCAGCTGGTTTGGGTTCCGGTCTACCAGAGTCTTGATCTCCCCCAACAGTACTGGCAAGGAACTGTGGTCTGCATTAGACAGCTGCTGAACGAGGTAAACTAAGCAGTCCTTGGCTTCAGCCTGCAACAATTAGAAATCATTTGAGTCAAAGAATTTAGCTTGATTCTTTATTGTGTAATGTTCTACCAGTCCTGCATATTTATTTACTTATTGACATCTATCAAGTTTGTGCAAGTATTGACATACATGTAACAGGCACCTATCACGTTTTCAAAATGTCAACCCTGAGACTAGATGGTAAGCTTTCAACCACCAATACTCTTTTCAGTAAGTATGGTGACTACTTTTCTTTAAAACCTGGGCTTGAATTGTGGCTCTCCTTAAACACAGGACCTCCAGCTTTACAACCCATCAGAGAAGATATCCCTAACTGAGGCTAGATACTCTTTTTCAGCCGAGTTATGTGAGGAAATAGATCTAACACTAATTGAAAAGCAAATGCGTAATGTTTACCTTCGAAGCTTCGCATATGGTCTGCTCTGTTAGTTCTTACTCAAATACATTTATATGTATGGTCAGACAGGAGTCTAAATCCCTCCTGCTATAAAATTGCAACATTATGTACCCAACGCCAGTTACCATGGTGACAGACGTCAACAGAAGAAGAAGAAGAAACTTAGCAAAAACAATATGTTTTCCTTTGCTAAACATAATAAACCTTAATCGTGTATCTTACCTCGTCCGTTCTCCCGATGGCACCTACGATCCTGGCCACCCCGCTCAGACACATGGGCTGCTGTTCCGCCGTCTTCTGCAGGGATCCCAGCATGCCCACAAAGGGTGTGGCATTGGCTGTTGCCATGTCAACCAGAACAGGCAGGACCTGTGTGGTGGTGGGCGGGGAGGGGAGGAAATCCACCAGGGTGTTCACATATGGCATCATCAGCTGGGGAGATACAACAAGAGACAATAGGTATAGATATACATAAATATTGGGAAAGGAAACATACATGTTACAAAAAGTAATCTTGTGGCTAAACATGATTTATATTTGTCTTGAAACATACATATACAATGTAGCTACTACAGAGTTTATAAGTGTCTTGCAAATACGTCACATCTCATCAACCATGGTACCACCATGTAGAGTGAATATTAGACATCTCATATATAACTTTTTTTCAAACCCTAGAAACTCTACCTTCCAAGCTCTGGCTGACTACACTACTTTGTTTTATATAGCTGCACTAGGTTTCAATGTTTTTCAGTTAAACAAAGAATATACAGAATACAAAAACTTTTCCTCACTTTGGGCTCCTTCTTTGCAACCAATGAGAGCAGCTGTAACAAATTCCCCCTCTCAGACCCATCACACTCCTTGAGCTGCCTAACCAGGTCTGGTACGCGCTTGTTGATTGGATCAGGAGCCTGCTGGTAGATCTGGGGCAGAACTCTGATCAGGGACCTGTTTCCTGTGAGATATGATCATCAAAGTCAATCACAGACAAGGGAAAACACAAACTAATTATATATAAAAAAATAAACATATAATTCTTGGTAGTCCTTTGTATTTGAAGATGTCTGTCAGTGTTCTTCAAATAAATTCAAATAAATCTTTGCCATTATAATACCTTACTAGCAAAATGTACAAAGCAACAAAAATTACATGAAAATAACATTCAATATATAGCTGACCCACAATTTTATGACAAATCTTTTGAACCTGTAATGTATGTTTCATGTCTTCAGTATATTAAATACATGATGTAGCTTAAAACACACACACACATGCCACAAGTGTGACAATTGCATGCCTTGTGATCACAGCGTAAAGCTAGATGACAAATGGCTATACCATTTGAAAAGTACAGAATGATGTCATGTACCTAACAAACCAATGCTCAACACCATCTAGCCATGATACATCCTCATGTGTGCCCAGTTCCCTCACCTGCTATGATACTATCGATGATGTGTTTTGTGTGTTTGGCAAGCAGGCCGGCGTTCTCTATGGCAGCGAGGGACAGATAACTGGACATGTTCCTACTCAGCTCACGGTTTCCCTGCTGCAGGAACTTCACAGCAACAGGAACGGCAAGCTTCATGATGGAAGGTTTGGAATAATTCTGGAATACAGATAATAAAGTATTAGTATAATATGCTACAAAATGTACAGTACAATGTGTAATACACATCGTAATACACATTCATTTCCAACTGATGAACACATTTGTTTACATGTTACTATGAACCAGACCACAAGAACTACAGCATTTGGGTCAAGGTGCAATTGAAACTGCAATTTGAATTTTGTGTATTCTGTAGACAGTCTGCTCTGGTTCAATGAAGCTAACACATGCCTTACAAAAAATGAATGTCTTTAGACTTAAAGACTTACAGACATTTACATGTCAAACAAATGTGTATAGTTACATGTATTATTATGATGTGTTTTACACAACGAACTTCTAAAAAAATCATAGTAGATACATACAGTTAGTTTCAAAAAAATCTTTCACATTCCTATGAACTGTAGTAAATAATTTCATTGTTGTTTTAAATATAAGAAAAGTGTTAATTTTTTTCCTGACCTGGAAGATACAACTCATGATATCTGAGGCAATCTTGGCATGAGGCGGGTCCTCGTCTCGAGACAGAGGCTTGAGGTTATGCTTAAGGCACGATTCCCACAGGGACACCAGCGCAGGCCCATGGCGCTCGATGGAAGCAGTTTCTCTGTTCAAGAAAAAAAAACAGCAGGAAGGATCCAATGTTAACACAGATTAACTTCTTGGTTTGTGAGTTCTCCTTGAGCTGCTGGGAATATTGTACTGGGAGTATTGAGAATTAACATCATGGTAATCTATTCTATGGTAGTAGGCCATACAGAGTTTTAAGAAGTGATACTTTTAAGGAAATGAGAACTAAACTTCACATTACAAAAAAGTTGCTTGCTCATGTACATGTCTCAAATAAATGTATAAATGTACAACTTATCCCTTTTGAATATTTGTATGCACACGAGAATAGATGTTGAAACCATATTGTTCTACATTGTAAACTGCTGTTCCAATGAGGAAATTATCTAAACAAACATGATTGGCTGCTGGTCACCTGATGGCAGTGGTAACCCTGGTGATGCAGATCTCCACCACTGATTGGTCGTTGTCGTTGGTCAGGTAGTCAGGGCGGGAGGAGATCTCCTGTATCCTCTTCAGCACCTGCGCAGAGAAGAGATTAGCATTCTGTTAGAAATTATGACAAAGCTGATGAATCATAAATTTATTATCATATGAATAATAATAATAATTGTTTCTTCAATTCATTATCTGTACTTACCAAATAGCAGCCGAAAGGCTGATTAGGAATTGTAAATATTTCAATTGGTCAGATTTGTCTTAAAGCATCACTTACTTGTAGAAGATTAGCAGCCCAGATAATTGTGTTTTTATCGGCAGCTCACCTTGATAAGTTGTGAATCAATTTTTGCATTTTTTATATTTCACAGACCTTGCCAAATGGAAAAAAATACTTCAGGAAAGTTCTAGATGTCATGTTATTCTCTTGAAAGATTTGTCAATAACTCAACAAGTCTAATGCTACATGTACATCCACTTGTCACACAGCTTGGCAAGTGATGAACTTGTTTTAAAAGAAGTTCTAAGGGAAGATTAATGAAAACACGTGAATGTCCCACCTCTGATAGGTCGTTGACAATAGCACTGTCCTCTATGGAGAAGAGATCCCCTGCCCTGGACAGGTCCCGCTTGGACAGAACCTGCGCAAACAGTTCATGCATCCTGCACCTGGACTGGTCTGCGATAAAGAAAACATTGAAAATGTGTAAATCACAATTAATAATTCCGTGTACATAGTAAAATAGTAATATTACCCTTTGATCCTCTAACCAGCTGGTTCAAATCTAAATCTACTGGCCTTGTATGAAGCAATGCGTGACATCAGTGGGCTGTTGATTTGAAACAATTTCTAGTTGCGACAGTTCTTGAAAATAATATTTCTTCGGGACAAAAATCGAATCTACACAAAGACGGCTCTGAGAACTCTGCAGCAACACGAGAAGTATTCACCTAACTCCTTCTGACAACATTCTAACCAGACATGCCATTGGCACATGTGTAAACACAACACATCTCTGACAAATGAATATGAAATCACTGTTATCATATACTCCGCATACAATAACAACACAGACAACCGTAGATGCTGCATAGTTTAAGCAAAAACAGCAGGAAGGTATGAAAATGAGATTAATCTTCTTTGATTTTAAGGCAGGCTAGACAAATTTCACTCCACCTACGCAAAGTCGCAAACTACTGCGAATGTGCAACTTGAACTGAAGTTGCGAAGTGAGCTACGCCCAAGGACTTTAAATCGATTTCCTGTGCGGACTAAGCTAGGTCAAGCCAAAACTCCATTCCTCTTTGTCAGATACTATCTCATTTCACATAAAAAGCTGTCAAAGAGGTTGAAACCTACCTTATTGCTTAGAAAAAACACAAAGTTTGGGTCCGGAGCTGAGATTTTCTTCCCACGTCCGCCATTTTGATTGCTTACTTTCCCAGACTGCACCGCGTGTGAAAAGCAAAGGTCACTTGGGGTCAGCAGGGGCGTGACCGTGACCAAAATAAGAAAAACTTGAGACATGCCTGCTGTCAAGATGTCTTTAACAGAGTTGTATTCTTTATCACCATTTGTATACTACATTATTATATAGACCCTAGAGCTTTGCTTTACCGGAGTGGGCTAATTCGATGCTTGAAAGACTGTGAAAGAAAGAGAAAGAAACTCTTAAGTAATCTTAGTATTATATATAAATAAACAGGGGTGGAAGCATTGTTGGGTGATATGCGCTAGAAAAGGCAACACATCCCTTCTGAAAACTTAAGTCACGCATTCTGCAGATGATGAAGTAATGAACTGGGTGAACTTGAGTGATGGAAAAAAACAAGAAGCTTCAAGCCATATGGCCGACTTTTACTTTATACGTTTTCCGTTTGGGACCTTGGAGGAGGTCGCTATCCAGTATGATTCTAGTAGGGCTGCATGCGATAGGGGTTTGCTGCCCTTGAGTCTATTGTTCAAGGATGCTTTCAATTCTGCCTTTATTAAATACAGAGCTAGGATGTTGAATATGATTTCGATAGAACTTGTTCCTTTTTTTAGGACTTTTTTTTTACCTTCTTTTTTAAAAACTTCGAGTCAATCCCTTGCACTCTATCTACTCACTGTGGCTTTCCAATGTCCTTAACGGCAAAAAGCCAAAGAATACAAACTCCTGTAGGTTATCGGGTCGTTAAACAACTAAACACCTGTTCTGTTTTTAAGAACCCTCAGGCGACCGGAATGGCTTTGTATATGCTAATGACTTAACAAATCAGACAAATCGGGTCATTTGCGGCTGTACAGTCGAAGAGTGGCTTCAACAGACGTTGTGCAAACATCGCGGTACAAATGTCCCCGTTTCTGACGCCTGCGTAGTGGATTAAACGTTATTTGAAAGCTTGACAACCGATGAGGGTCCAAATAAGGGCCTTCAGTAAACCCTTTAGCTCTCCGCGTTGTAAACTGGTCTGTGTGTGCTTCAGAAAAACAGTGAACGGGGAAGCACTGTTTCAGAATGCGCAGGGGAGCCAAGAAGAGTTGTCGTCAACCGATTCAAGCGGACAGTAAGAGACTCTTTGTGTAAAGGCATGCATGCACTTCTAAGGGACTCGCTTTTGAGGAACTCGGCAACGTACGTGGACAACTTGAAGAACATAGAAGAAGTGCTATGCTTTCTTCAACACGACTCTGTACTCAGCAACGAAGAAATAGCCTTCATACTTCCTATCTCCAAGACTGAAGACAAGGTAAAGGTGCTGCTGGAAATCCTGGTCAGCAAAGATGACCGAGCCTTCTACGTTTTTCGCGACGCCCTCAGAAAAACTGGCTTCGGGCACTTGGAGGATTTGCTTGACGACGGCGCGACGGCGTTTACAGGTGAGGGACCAAAGTTGACAAGTTATTTGCCTTTTCTATTGTAACTGCACAACCAGGCAAACATATGAGTACTCTTGTGTAAATCCAAGGCTTTGATACCAAAGAGGCGAACGTTTTAGTGTGACACTTAGACCCCATGTGTGTTTGAAGTTGAAGTCATAACCTTTGTAACAGTGGCATGATATCGTTATGTTGTTCTGCATAGTTGTACCTGTATATACCTCCTAACGACAAACCGTCACCCAACAGTAAAATTCATGCTTGGTCATGTACGTAGAAAGATAAACACACACGTGTGGTGTGTGGTGCATATTCCAGACTCCTTAGTAGTCACCCGACCGCAGTGGTTCCCTGACATCCACGCTCGAATGCTGCTGAATCCCAGGCGACGGCATTCCTTTCTGTCAGGTCGTGTTGCATAGTACAATTTCTGCACGTCTTTGGAAACAGAACTAGACGCAAGGGGAACGGTAAACATAGCGCACATTATACTGATCTGAAGACATCAATGGTTTATTACTTTTGCGACACGTACGTACATAGAATGACACCATTCACGACACATTCTTACCAGTAGTAATAGTAATGGATCAATATGTGAACCGTGAAGTTTAAGCCCCTATGCTACCACACATTCAGAACCTTCCCCCGAACACCAGTCGACCTAGATTAGCTGAAGTTCGGGAGCAGTCTTGCCAGCTTTATGCCACGCCTACCTTTCTATACGAATTGAATCGAATTTGAGTCAAATTTGAACTCCCCGCCCCGAACTACTTCTTACCATGGTTGGGAGCAGTTCGGCTAGTATTCGGTAAACCACATTCGTGTGTCAGTGGCTTTATAGAAAATATCCCAATCGCAATCCAATTCCAAGTTCAATGCTAACGTAAACGGCGAGAAAAGCCTAAAAGCTGAAAATTTGGTACAGACTATTACAAAGTAAATGACATTGTTTGATGCCAACTTCTCGTGTTTCCTAAAGGCCCGGGGACGCGAGGGAAGCATCGTGTCAAACGTCTGTCTCCTCTCCAGACGGCCTACGCCACACCCAGGGCACCACAGGCTCGGGGTAAGGCACTGTCATTTCTATTGGCCGTAGATTTTCATATTATCATGAATGGAATGACTTTACTTACCTACTTGTTGTAGATATGTTTCTATGCCTTAAGATCTTAGTCTGAGTCATCATGTAATATTCTTCGTTCAGGAGCCTTTATGAGCAAGATCCCCCAACTGCCTGACATCACAGCGGTAAGAAATGTTACGGAGCTGGAAGACAAGAAACTGTTGGGCTTGGAGAAGCGTGAGGAAAATAAAGGTGAATATTGGACAACTTTGACTCTCAAATTCTAAAGCCATAATAACAGCCACTGCTGAAACCTACTTAATAAGGAAGATGGGACCTTCCCATTACAAGCTTATTTCTTATTCTTATCACAGAAAGCGTAATTTGACACGTTTCAAAACGTGGTAATGGTGGCTTATATGTGTATACGTCATCATGTGTATACATTTCACTCTCTGTACATTTGTTTACGTTACCGTTTAGTATTCAATATCATCTTCTCCCCTCCAAGGAGATTTGCGAAGAAAGTCAGACGCGACCAGACGCACAAAGAAGAAAACTATTTCACCTCGACAGGAGACTGATGCCTTGGCGGACGGGGAGCATGCGCAACTTCCGAACGAACAAGTTAGTCAGAGCGGTGAGGTCTCTCAAAGAGAAACTCCGCGTAAGCCGAAAGAACGACCGCCAGAATCTCAATCAGAACAAACGTTAACCAACACACCACCTAGCACAGAAGGCCCAACACTAGTGACACAGCAATGTCTACAATTTTCTATAATGAGCGTCGAGAAAGTTTCTCCCATACCAAGCGAAGCCTCCCAAGACCTTGAAGTAGATACAGACAAAAATTCATCGGTTCCCTCCCCAGAAAGTATTCTGCAGGAAGAGATTTATTTCCAGACCCAAACTTCAACACACGAAACAACAACAGGATCTATAACACCCGAAACAACAACCGAATCATCAACACCCGAAACAACAACCGAATCATCAACACACGAAACGACAACCGAATCATCAACACCCGAAACAACAACCGAATCATCAACACACGAAACAACAACCGAATCATCAACACACGAAGACCAAGAAAACGACGAACTCACCACCGAAAATGACGCCGTATATTCAGACACGGCGAGTCCAAGACGAGCCTACAGATGTAAGTTATCCCTGCACCTTAAAAGTATCCAACAACGCGGCAACAAATCCAACATCTCTCAACCCGAGCAAGACAGGCTTAAGAAGGCCGGCGACCTCTTTACGACAGAGCTGATGACCATTTCACAGAGGTACATAGACTTGGAGGCGGTACTGAAGAAAAACGGGGCTACGCTACTCACCGTATCCAAGGGTAACCGAGCTAACAGCGTGACCTGTCTCCTGTGGTTTGGAAATGAGGACGACTTACAGAGATTCTGGCTGGCGTATCGTGAAGGGACCGTTGCCATGGATATGTCACGTGATCTAGTGTCAGATGACGTGTGCAAGGCGGCGAAACGTCTGAACTTGACTGTTGGCTGTCACATGGTGGAGAAGGAGTACCAGATGGGAAAGGCGCATTTCCAAGGTCACTGTCAGCTTATTCCGTTCCTGCTAAAAGGCCCAAAACACTTATGTCGTAACGTACGCTTGAAAAGTATTACAATATGATGCCTGTCATTGACCGAATATTAACATTTTATATGTAAGCACGTACGATGTATGCAGGACTATGCCACGAATGCCCTTAGTTTGTGATCGTACTACGTCTGATGCATAGTAATGAGATTGAGAGACATGCTATTGCCATTGATTGCTACAGAAGTTTGCCTTAATCTTTTTAACACTATAATGTCAAAAGAGCTACTGTGTAAACTATATATTTCATATATAACAGCCACAAACATGGCTAATTTTCTCTTCGATATTTTCACATTACAGGTGAGTTTGAAGGACTCCTAGACCCGTCTCATTACCCCACCTTCGAGAAATACATCGTGGACTTCTTCCAGGGCGGCGGTGACGGCAGCACCCTTCACGCGCCCTTCCGTACCAGCTCCCTCCTCTCCTGCCTCCTGCAGGACAAGTTCTTCTGGCCGTTCGTCTGCTCCTACTGGAAGGACTGCAGGCAGCCCCCCGCAACCCTGACGGACTTCGTGCTGTACTGTGTAGAGGATGGGGCGAACTTAGCACGAGAAAACGACGGTGAAACTGCTATCCAGTTCTACAAGGTTCTCCACGAAAACCTTTCCAAGCTCTCGGGCATAGGTGAAGTGAATATGCAGTTCAGTGCAACAATCAAGTCAAGGTCCGCGTTGGTACGAACTGATGAGACTTTCCCTCTTTTGGATCTCCTCCTGTTCATGAACCATCTCAAGGTGCTTGTTCTGCAGAATCAAAGTCTCTCGGATTCTTCCGTAGCGACGCTGTCACAGCGATTATCATGTTTACATCTACTAGAAGAGTTGGACCTCTCAAACAATGGTATGAACGATCAGAACATAATGGAGCTTACACAATCTTTCCCCCACATACCCAACGTGAAGATACTTAAGCTGACAGGGAACAAAACGACACCGTCGGGAACGAAGCACCTGCTAGACCAAATGTCGTCGTTACAACATTTAGAGAAGGCAGATTTCAGAGTTCTAAACCTCTCAGGTGTTCAGGTTTCGCTTGAGGACGCCACGAAAATGTCCCACACTTTCCGCGCAATGGGAAACTTAACATCAGTAGATTTTAGTGGTTGTGGTTTAGATGACGATGCCGCGTTGACGATGGTTGAAAATCTAAGAAAACTCTCTCATATCCGTAATCTTAACCTCGGAGGAAACCAGATCACCGACAAAGGCGTGACCGCAATCTTCAGACAACTTCGTCACATGAAAGCGCTGTGCAGACTCGACCTCAGTTCGAACAAGATGACAACAGCTTGCCTTGCTCTACTAACCGACCACATACGCTCCTTAAACGAACTGAAGGAGTTGATCCTTCTAGGCGTCCATCCTGAGGAGGCATCAGTTTCCGAGACACTTCAGCTCGTCTTGGGATTCATCAACAGTTTAGAAGGGTCCATGGGAAGCGGAGAGGACGCAGACTCTTTGTTTGACAAAATCTTAAATGAGGATCTTGACGACGAAGTTTTAGAGAGTAACATAAAAGAATCACTGTTGAAGTCAGAACCGATAGTTATCTGGACAGGTGAATTGTCCCTACATCTCGGAATTATCACTGTATAGGCTGTAAACTCGCCATTGACATGTACAGTTTTGTTTACATTCTGGAGTTCTAAGAAGAGAGATGAATAAATAAATGAATGAAGACACTTATTTCACATCTTTGTCCAACTTGGCTAAGCACAGTCATAGCAAATGCATATGTTGGCAAGGAATTTCAGATGGAAAAATCCACCTAAATGCAGCTGACTGAATTTTTAAAAAATTGCACGAATGCATTCCCTAGGGAATTGCTTTTGAGGTTTACCCCTAATTTAGGGTTACACTAATTTATGTTATTTAGTAACATGATTAAGTTATGAAACCCTAATTTAGGGTTATGAAACCCTAATTTAGGGTTATGTAACCCTAATTTAGGGTTATGTAACCCTAATTTAGGGTTATGAAACCCTAATTTAGGCTAACTTCAGCGTCACACATCGATTTTTGTGGCATCTTTTGTACAGATTATTTATGAACTGCAATAATTTCAACGACTGCTAGAAGTCGCTTTTGATCCATGCAAATTTAACCGTACTTCAGCTATGCACGGCGACAAAGTTACCATGTTTGTGTAATCTTTAGTACGGATGTATACTGCAGTACTGACAATGTAAGACAGGTGTCGCTGTGGGACCGTCTACAGGTTGTTGGGTAATATGGTAGGTAATATCGTTGGCTTAGTAGGTATGAGACAAAAGCAAACAAAATAATCGATAAAACATCATGAAAGCTTTATTGAAAGGAATGTATTATGGAAAGACATCTTCAAATACATGTTGGAAGATCCCACTTCTTCCCGACCAATGACAATTGTAAGCTCTCAACATGGTCACAAGTACAACTCAATTTCAATGGAAATTTTGATACTATGGAAATATGGATTGATGGTCACAATATCTGTCACCAAACGACTGGAGTAATTAGAACGATTTCTAGGACTATAGATACAACAAACAATAATCACTAACTCATCAATTTTAAGGGATACATCATCAAAATCCATGAAGGGAAAAATATAATACATACAGTCTGGTGCTTATGATACTTATAAGAATAAAGAAAAAACAAGTATTTTGTTGCAACCAAATCCCACAACTACATCTATTTCTCGGGAAAAATTTACTTGAAGAAAAAAGGTTTAAACAATAAAAAACTCCATACATTCAACCTCACAGTGTGCCTCACACAAAATTCAATTTCTACACAATTTCTTCACATTACTGTACTTCATAGCTTCTATATTCCATCAAACTAGGCAAAAATGCCTTCAATTTGTACAGCTAACTTTTTCACAGCTCAATCTCTAGCAGGAAACATGTGAGCTAAAGCAGAGATATGAGCAAGAGTTGCAAAGATTTCCCGAGTTACGGTATAACATAGTGATCCACTCTCTATCAACACTCAAACTAAATCACATAGTAGAATTTCATATAAATATATGGCTTATATATTCACAGATTAGTTTCTCCAGATCACAATATATTCACCAAATTGTCCTTAATTTCCAAGATACCTAGATACAGCTAAATGTTATATATGTCATGTTTGCTTATGAGTTATAGCATTGGCTATCAAAGACTACCGTATCTAGAAGACTTGAATGCACCTGTACATAGCTAGCTGAGGCCGACCAAACTGTAGCATAAATACAATCTACAAGCCACTAGTAGTAAAAATGTTGCAGGATAAATCTAGTAACAACGTGAGCGTATCAGGACTTTTTCTGAGCCCCTATAAGGGTCGTGCCAGTAAGTACCAACATGGAGAACTCTGACTAATAAACTTTGTTAATTATGCCCACCATACTGATGTAGTACTAGATCAAGACTATGCTTAATTAAAACCATTTAGACAAGTGAGCTCAGGAAAGAATACCCTAAGTAACAAGAAATAGCACCGTCACACTGACCACACATTGTTATTCTGGTCTTGACAAAAGAAAGACAACTGTACATGTACATCGATTAAATCCTCGGTAACTTTGACTCTTTTTCTGCATGTCGAAGGACCTACAACTCTCTTTATCTCTCCCACGCCTCAATGGCAGGAATTGTCAAAACAAAAGAGCAGTTTTGGGCTGGTTTAAGTATGCACATTTCTGTCCAATTTCTAGTGGCTTGTAGGTATATCATACGTTTTGACTGATCCAAAACTGTGGCCTGGCTTAGAGGAAGTGCTGATTTTTTTTTAAACTGGCTTTGAAGGTCCACAACAAATTTTCTTTTGAACCTGCATCTCAAGACTCCGTGTCAAACGTGTAGCGCTCAATATCCGAACCCCACTGGGGAAGATAGTAGAATTTATCGCGATAAAACTGTACTACAGGCCTTTGCAGGGAAACCCAAGTCTAACCCCAAGTTGCAACAAAATATTGTAGCTCCAATAGTGGTGTGGTGAATACATATACAAGGTATAAAACCGGCATGAGCTTCTACCTAAGCTATAAGCTACCCTCCCCCAGGGAAGACATGTTTTTTATCCATTGCAGGGCTTTAGATTCCTTCTTTCTATGGAGTTCTGTAGAAGGTCTAGCTCTTGTCTGTCGATTTTCACGTCTTTAATGCAGCCTACGAAGCCGGAGTTGTACTCAGAGGGCAGGCCGCTGGGGAGAGCACCGCTGAATCCGCCTGGAACAAAAAATGAAATAATGAAAAATTCTAACTAAACATCATTTTAAAAGTTATGATGGAGTGATAGCTAAAAAAGATATAAAAAATGAGACATACAGCAAGGATTTTGAGATTCCTGTCGGTCTGTCCAAAAATTTCCATACCTTTAAAAATTTCGTATCATTGTAGGTGTTGATTTTCTTAACTACTAGTATTATTGCAACCATGTAGGGATGGGGCATTCTTTCTATATAAGATCTGTTTTTAAACAATGGTGCTACTTTTACAAATACATGTACATGCTGAAGCTTGCAAAATTAGATGGCAGTTATACTGTTAAACCACTATAAAATGTACATACCTATCCAGAGGACTCCATCAGTGTTGAGCTGGGAGGCCCCAGGTGGAGACTCTCCCTTCTGAATGGAGCCGTTCACCCCCACAATCTCAAGTGAGCCCTCCCGCTTGGTCCTGGAGGCCAGCAGACATAATAATCAGAACAATGCACAGAACAAGTACAGTACTCGTGAAGAAGTGGCCATTGTTTTGGTTGTCTCTTAAAATACTTTTTCCATTGATTAAAGTAAAGCCATCAGAATCCTTTCAACAGTAGCTATACATACTGTGATCTCTTTAGTGGCAGGCCATGCGCATATATATATGGTTTGACTGTAAAACAGTATAACTACATGTATACAACTACACAAATATTAATTATCAAAATTTTCCTCTATATCCTGGGTGCCATCCTCCGTAGTTTCTGCCGGCTGCCTAATGTCGCTGGCTACCACAGAGCTAAAAGTGGCCGCAAGCGACATTAGGGAGCCTGCGGCAACTATGGAGGTTCGCACCCAGGCTATTTCCTCTTTCCACAAACTAAATTACATTACGATGTTAAACATTTGTCTCTTTAAAATAACTGTATGTAATGTAACGTTATGTCTGTATGCTGATGTATTGTTATGATGCATTCTTATGTACTCTACCCTATCCTGGAAGAATAGCTGTCAGTGTGGTTCCACAAGAAACCACAAAAAATATGATATTAATAGACAGGATGAAACACCCACCTGTCAGCCACAATAGTGATCCAGCGCCCTGTGTTCACGCTGATCGGAGACTCGATGGTGAAGGGCTGTTTTCCCAGTTTGTAGGTCAGCTGGGGTTTCCCGCCCACGATGGCAAGGGCGATGAAGTCACCGCCGCCCGGCTTGTGGTTCCACAGGAGCAGCCCGTGGTCAGAGGTCGTGCGGAAGGTCACCTCAAAGTGATTGTTGTCCTGGTTGGGCACCCTAGAGGTTAAAAGTCAGAATAAGAAAAAATGAAAATTATTTAAGTAGTACAGCAGTACAGCAGTAAAAGGAAAGGTCATACTTTGAAGGCTTTGGATCACCACATAAAGGAACTGTATTGCCACAAAAGGGATACTGCCATACAATTTCTATGATTGTTGGTCTACTATGTAATAGCCTGGGTACCATCCTGGTCAGTTTAGGTCTGCTTCCATAGTCGTAACCAGTAACCAGAATGGAACCCAGCTAGTTACTTGAATGTCTTGATGTACTCCTGGAGGTTACAATCTAACACACAACACAAGCTTACAGATACAAGGTACAAATAGTGTTTTACACATCAGCTTTTGAGACACAAACTGTGGCAAAGTAGGAGCAACAGCATCACTGTGCACAAAGTGTAAACAATAAAATGATTCAAACAAGGCTGACTGCACCATCTGAGGTTCTTATGGACTGTCATGACTTCTGGACAGATGTGATATTGTTTCATCAGGGTGTGCAAGCCATAACTCATAATAGGTACATGTACATGTACAAGATCAGAGAAGCTTCAAATCATGAGAAAAGAAAGAGGAAGGAGAGGGACTTACTGTTCACGAATAGAATTGGACTCCCTTGAAGACAAAGCAAAGAGAGGAAGAGAGAGAGGTGAACAAGTTTAGACACATACATGTGTACTGCACATGAGGTTCACAGTGTAGGGAGGGGGAGCAGCATGGTGTCACACTGGCAAATACTCTAGCATGTCTAGGAAAGCTCTAATCTCCAAGCAGATGTAAGGATTCAGCTCTTGCTCTGTGTTATAGGCCTGTTTATGTACCATTTCACATCCTCCTAGTTTTCTGGAATAAAACTCTGAGGATGAGCTGTATACTTAAATTTGCTTGGAGATTAAGACAGCTTCACCACATCACATTAAGAACAAAGTTACTATACAAGCACTGGTTCTGGGAAAGAGAACAGGGATCAGATTATGCAATCCATATTAAAATTACAGTTCCATGATTCTCAATCAAGAGAAGAGAGATTTTTTTCTAATAGTTTGATAGCTTTTTGCAAAAGGTTCTCTAAACCCAAAACAAAGAAAGAAATCCAAGACTTGTTGCAGTGTGAAAGCATGAGGGAGTGAGTGAGTGACACTAACTTTTTGTTGATGGCGTTGGGATAGTTGAGGCTGGTTGTCCCGTCCAGACTGATCCCTTCCAGTCGCAGGGGGGCGGGGTCTGATCCAAAACTGGGAGCTGTCAATCAAACCATGACAACAATCAGAACATAACTCTGTTTTCTTGTAAAAGCATCTTTTGTTTTTTCCTCATTTCATTCACCTTTATAATTTGCTCTATATTTCTTAAGCAACTGAACTATGCAGGCTGATACCCAATTCTAAAAACATGTGACCCTAAAGTGTAAAGAGTAGGCTACTCTGTCAAATTTAATAATATACTATCAGTACTATTAATGTATGTAGAATATCCTGTCCAAGGGTATACCTTATTATACAACCATTACTAATTTCATCAGGTTGGTGAATGATTAAATCTATTCACTTCATTCACTTTAACCGCTTGTTTATGAGAGCCAAGAGAGAAGTTCTTCAACTTGACATGCCTTTTTGCTTCCAATTTTCTCAAAGAGAAAATAATTATTATATTATTCAAGCTTTTCAAAGCAGATTTAAGGCAACTACATCTAGAATAACTTGCAGAGAAACTAACCTAAACCTATATAATCAATACACTACTAAGTAACGTAACATTTACAACAGATATGGCTTATACATGTTACATACCTTTCTCACAGCGTTTCCCTGTGTAGCCACCGGAGCAGTCACACTTGTAGTCCGCCATCATGGGCATGCATGCCCCGCCGTTCTTACACGGGTTGTTCTTCCTGGTGCAGCTGTGCTTCTCGAAGTTCCCGATGTCCACCGCAGCGAGAGCGCCGTCCACAAGATCAGGAACCACCGCGCCTGCAATGACCAGCTACGAAAGAGAACAACATTGAGTTGATGTGAAGTTTTGACAAGCTATTTTCCATGAGAAAGTGTAAAACCTTTGAACAACCAGGAACAACAGGGAACTACCTGCAACAGACAACTTTTATCTGCACCACTCAGAACTTAGGAAGTTTATATGGATAACACTAAACCTGTTCAGAAACCAATGCCATTATTTCTTTTATACTTCCTAGATGGTAACAGTCAATACAGAAAATCCACATTCACTTGTGTTCCATGGTCCATATAAACCTGGTACATGAACCAATGTAGGTTAGGTGCAGATAAACATAAAAAATACAGCTAAAATTTTACCTGCCCTAACCTGCATAACCCAGTATTTTAAACCCTGTACACTGATCTCCCACCTTCTGTATGGCGCCGGTGAATCCGGTGGTGATGTCGGCGTCCCGTGCAAAGGTGGAGTAATCCTCGCCGCCGCCGATGAACAGCGGCAGACCCAGGTTCAGCTGGGACAGCGTGCCCTGCAAAGGATCATGGGAATGTTGGGTTCCATTCTTTTCAACCGTTGACCTCCAGAAAAGACGATACATTGAGCGAACCTTGCCTTCATGTGTGTATGTGTGGATTTCTGGTTGTATCTCAAGGGACTGTATGCAGGTCAAATGTTTTGCCAACTGTAAGACAACTGCGGGCAATGGCGATGTTACAGTTTCCTTACAAGCGGCGTAAAGCCATGCATAGCCAAGCTCAAGCTCTACGTAAGACTTACACATTTTTGTACTGAACAATCTGAGGACATTCAGTGATTCAAGCACAATTATCACTGATTGGTATGCAACTGCATAAGAGCATTATCACATCAACTACACTGTACCTCTAGCAATCGTTGCAGCTTATTACAAATGTTGTATTCATTCAGTGGGATTAACGATTGTACATGATTTAAACAACAGTGCACATCATTTTATCAACCACAAAATCATGCAATAAATATCCCATGCTATTAGAATTATCGTGGTGCATCTCTATCATGCAGATTATAGTGAAGCGTCTTTTCCACAGCGGGTGCAGTTTGCAGCTTTGGGTTAGGCTTTCGACTGCAAAATGGAATGGCAAGATGTGGTCACAAATAGATGACTTTCAGAAGCCTCAGGAGATGTCTATTCAACTCTAGATCGTTAAGATAACTACTTGATTGTAAAGAAGGAATTAACTACTCAGTCAGATTATAGATCACAGTCGGAAAAAGAGAGAATTTCATCTACAAGAAAACTAAAAAATGCATTTGCACATGTAGATTTTGTCAGAAAATAGAGAATTTCAGCTACGAGTAAACTAAGAAAATGCTAACTATCATTTATACATGTACTCGGGTCAGATTTTTAAAGGATGAGACGGTCATTCGTGATTGGCTGAGAGGCTCTTGAGGCTTCTGAAAGTGATATATCCTGACCAATCAAAGTGCAGATGAGGGGTAAGCCTCATTACCTCCAGTACATTGTTGGATGGCCCACCCTTTTGTGTAGCGGGGGAGAAAGCAACAAGTCACATTAGCAGCAAGAAAAAAGCAAAGCAATGAGATACAGTAGAGGATCAACAGAAGCTGGCCTCCCCTATTTCTGAAGTGGTACTTTCCTTCCAATGCATGGACTCTACCTTACACAAGGTACAATGTACTTCAGAATAGGGGTGGTCAGGTGATTGAATGACAGATTCAGTACCAAGGACAAAACTACTGACAGATTTTGTAGTAAAACTTACATTGTACTCAATAGGTGCTGAAGAATAAAAGAGATCTCTAGGATATTTAAGTAAATCAATAAGTACATAATGATTTATATATTATTTTCTCTTATGAATTACAATCATGCCTCAGATGCAATCACGTTCAAGCAAGAAATGTTCACTAATAGTACAGCTGAAGAAAGAGTAACTTCTCAGTCTACCTCTACTACCAAGACAAGGAACGGAATAAGGTCTGTGAATAACAAGGCAACTTACAGGTGACTCTCCTGTGCCCACGACCTTGCCATCCAAGGTCATCTGCCCTCGTCTCAGGTTGCGGTCAAGCTTGACTTCGTGCCATTCATTCAGGGTGACGGGATCTTCCGATCTGTGATCACAGAAAAAAAATCAAGATATCAAGAAAAGTTCTCAAGTTTTCAAAAACGGTACACTGAGTAAGAACAATCCTTTCACACCTGCATCTGTACACAGTAACTTAGAACAGATGAATGCCATTTTGTTATAGAATGTAGATTGAGCAAAGAGAGAAATGAGCTGTGTTGGTTTGTACAAAAGCTATTTCCCTATTTCATACACGTAAGCATGTTCTTTTTATCTCTTTAAGGTGCAATAAAAGTCATCATTATACATTACACTACATTACATTACACCTGGTGATTGAGAAACTCTGTGAATTCGTATACGCATGTCTCAAGAGGAGAGAAGAAACTAGTAAGCTATTGTAAGCTCTAGAGTTAGATGAATTATAGTATACACTAGCTGTTTGTTTTGTTTTTCTTCTTATACAATTCCCTATGTACTAGTAACTAGTATCATCCAATATGTTCTATCATCCAGTGCATTTAGCCCGGAAGGGCATGAATATGCAATAAACATCATTATAGGATTTCATCTAATATCTACATTAGGATTTCAGGTGACACCTACCTGATATCTGCAGGACCCTTGCCCAAGTTAAATCTGAAGACAAGATATCCATCTTTCAGGTTCAAGGACACAAAGTCTCCCTTCCCGTCGGTCTTCTGTCCGTTGTACAGCAGCATGCCGTTGTTCTTGGTGGCGTAGAAGATGACCTCGGCGCTCAGAGACTTGCTGACGGCGGTGAGACCGGCACGTTGGATGTACGAGTTACCGCTGAACTCTGGGATGAAGGTCTGAGCATCTTCAATTTCTGGAAATAAAGAATGAAAGACTTGAATTTTAAAACTGTTTTCTGTGTCTGGAAGTCTACTGTCATGGAGGTCGTAAACAAACCAAAAATTATCATACACCTAGAATTTTCACTTTTGTTATTAGCAATTACCACTTTGTATCTTTCTTCGTTCTTTATTTCTGAGATCTTTCTTCATATTTTTCTGTAATATCTGTAGTCAAACATTCATGTCTATCTATTGAAACTCTTTGGCAGGAAATAATGTGCTAGGTTAACAAAAGTGCTGCATTCTATTTGCAAGTCTTTCTAAGATTATGGCTTCCATACTTTCTTTGTTCTCTATTTCTGATATCTTTCTTTGTTTCATCTCTACTATCTGTAGTCCTACCTTCATCACAGAGCATCCCCCTTCTGCCCACAGGACACCTGCACTGGAAGCCTCCCTCGGGCTTCATTGTGCACAGTGAATCGGGGTGGCAGGGGTCAGGGTCACAGGGGTCACTGGCAGCATGGCCGCACAGGGGACCTGGGGTGAAAAGGTCACAGAAAATTATACACAGTGGGCTTGGGGTGAAAGGTGTCAATTTATCAGGCAGAAGTTTTGAGAATATCCATATAACATCTATTTCCATGAAATGTTGGCATGGAATATAAATCCTTTGATATATATATAGATCAACAAAAGAGCAGTAAATAAATATAAATTCTATTTGAAAATATGTCCGTGAAGGTTAGACATTTTTTTGCAAATCTTTATAAAATTGAAGGGCTTGCAGAGCCCATTCTTCGGTGCTATGTCAAATACATGTAAGCAATTCAGCAATCTTCAGTTTGTCCTACATAGGTAAGTAGAAATGGGAAAGAGATTTTGGAAAACCTTTACTTTAGCTTCAATCTTTATTACAAAGGAAGGATTAAACTGTTACGCACGACAAAAATTCTGTAAAGCATAGCTACAATTTTTTCTCACCATGGAAGCCTTGTTTGCAGACACATCTGAAGTTCCCATCGTTGGTTACTTCACACTGTCCCTCGTTCTGGCACGGCTTGGCCTTGCAGGGGTCCGACCCACACTCGCTCACACCCACCCCGAACATCATGTCCTTGCCGTTAGGTCGGAGGTCGTACATCTTCTCCTGACCCTTCTGGTCGATGATCTTCAGCTCGCGGATGCAGCCCTTGAACCCACCAGTCACGCCGATGCGCTGGTACACCCTATAAACAGTGTAAGAATGGTTTCTCTCTGCTGCCTAACCCTGTAGACTGTAACACTTACAATTTGATGCCAAAAGACTTCAGCAGGCTAAATGCTAAAGGACACTTAAAGGACAGTTAAAAGGGCATCTGATGTAAAGAAACAGTTCTATATCAAAGTGTATTGAAAGTCAGTAGCAGTAAGCCTTTAATACAATGCCTACCTATCTCTATCCTCTGGCGGGATGTTGCCCACATAGAAGTCATCATCCAGGTTCAGGCCTGTTGTCGCCCCAGGGCTGGCTCCGGTGGTGTCAGGCTCGTTTCCGATGCGGATGTAGCCGTCACGCTTCACGCGAGACGCGGTGACCGCGTACCAGCGGTTGGGCTCCAGCGGCAGGGAGTGGATGATTTCTGAAGGACCTGATCCAAGGTCATACCTGTGTGTGAAGGTCAAAGTCATTTTTGTTAGTATGACTAAGGAAGAATGACACAGAATGATAACCAAATCAGTCAGATTTCTATTATCATTTGTCTCTAATCCTTGCACCAAAAAGAAGCGCATTTGTCTTATACATTTCTTTGTTTCTTAAAATGTGCCTGACTTTTAAGATGTCAGCTACTGTATATCAGTGAAGGGGATCCTAAGGGACATATTTTCTATCACAAGGAATGACGTTACTGGTAAAACTTTTGTCTTGGTAGACCCAAAGCAAACTTTACAAAGTTTGAAACAAGACCTCTACAACTGTCTATATCTGTCACTGATGCTATCTCTAACAGCTACATTTTTAAAAGGAGCTTACTGGAACTGGAGTTTCCCATTGACGATAGCGAGAGAGATGAAGTCCTTTCCACTCTTCTGTCCGTTGTAGACCAGGAGACCGTCCTTTCCAGTGTACCTGAAGTCCAACATGATGGTCCCGCTGAGGAACACCTTGATGGTCTTAAAGGCAATGTAGGAGTCTCCTCCAAAAGCTGGCTGGTAGAAGAACACCTCTGTGGACAAAAAAAACCCCACAAGGTTTAAATTTAAGGCATGAATTTTCCCATGCTTACAAATGTAACTGTAAATTACAGTATACCAGTTGACAGTGATGACATGAGAATTTATCACTCTATTTCTGAAATATATAAACTTGCTATATAAGAAATCGGACTGTATTAGAAAGACAACCTGTAGCAACTGTGTGGTTGCTTCTTTTCCCATGTAAAATTCAAATTCCTTATGCATCAAAGCTAAAGCACAATTCAGCTTAAGTTTGCACAAGACATATAGTGACAACAAGTTTTAAACACTCACATATGTACCATATTACATGTACATTGTAAATGTACAATACTCTTTCAAAATTTACCACAACGTACAAAACATCAAGTTAACCCTTCCCTACCTTCTTCACACACCGGACCAGTCCACCCAGCCGGACAGGAGCATTCAAAGCTCCTCCCGTCGTTGGTCCTCTTACACGTCCCGCCATGCATGCAGGGTACGCTGCTACAGGGGGTGGGCGCAGGCGGGGGAGGCGTCACCGTAACCGGCGGCCGCATCTTCTCCGTCGTCTTCAGCGGCGGGAACGTCGACATCTTCTTTGTCGGTGTGACCAGATTTACCGATGCTGTTAATTCACGAGGGAAGGAAAATGTATACTTGTCAAGGATTGTGCCACACTGATTTCTTCCCAAGGGTTTTTTGATTCAACCAACCTCAGTGTTGTATAAACGTGATAGATAAAAAAAGGCCAGAAGATGTAATAGGACTTCAAAAATGATCAATGACTTCAAAGAGGAGCAACTGTATGTACATGTACATGATGTACATGTAAAATGACAATGTTGTCGAATAAAGAATTTGACTACGTAAGAATACTGATGAATCATGAAGAGCATTCTGAACAAACTGTTTGGATAATTGTGAGATGGGGTCTACAGGGAAACAGGAGGTGAAGGGACAACAATGGTAGCCTGGGTGCCATCTTAGTTTGTTTACCTAGCTTGGCTGAGGGAGAGTATTGGAGCCCCAGTAAACTAACTAGGATGACACCCAGGCTACACTAATGGCTAGTTGGAAGTGAAATGGGTGAGGGGGATTTATTTAGGATTTTTAAAGAGGACTAATCACTGTTTTCTCAACAGGAGTTTTGGAAGGAGTGGTTTGGGTGTTTGAGTCATGAGTGGGACACAGTGGTTGGGGGTGGGTGAGGCTGGGTTAGCTGAATCAATACGGGCAGAATACTGGCACAACGTCTGGATAACAAAGGCCACAAGGCAACCTTGCTTACTGCAAGCAACTGGGGATTAAAGAAACATTTTTAAACAAATTTCTGTCACTTCTCAGCATAACAAACATGTTAAGAAGGGATGTTACTTTTCTGGTTGTGATTCTATGGTCGCAAGACTTAAAAAATTTTATAATTTTGCAGATGTTGTTGCTTATGATAGAAATTTTGCACCTATAAGGTGGGAAAAACAAGGAACAGTTTTTCTTGTGCACCTTTGCATCTAGTCGCTGTGCCTGTATATCTCTGTCGCCCAATGTTTACACACCGGAACATCACACTCACCGCTCGTGGGGGGCACACGAGTGGACTCAGTTGGCAAAACGGTTTCCTTTGTGCCTTCGGGCATGCTAGGTTTGTCGGTCGCGTTTTCTGAAGCAGGGGTTCGTGTTAGGTTGGTAGGACATGTCGTGTTGCGACCTGAGCAGAGGGGTCGTTTCAGGGCAGGGATAGACAACCCATCACCGCACACCACAGCAGCAAGGGTTAGAGGTCAAAGTGCAGAGTTCAGAGGGCAAGAAGAGTGGAAGAGAGAAATTTTTATCAAAGTTTGCAATTAGAGAAGAGAGATAGTTTGAGATTTTAGAAAGGTTGAATAAGAAAAGGTTTCGTTTTTAATAAGACTATTAGAATGTCATTAGCTGGAGTAGATCCTGTGAGTAAAGAGAACTGTAAAGCAAGGTCAAACAACCACAACAGCAAAGGTCATGCAACAGGTCATCATAAAGCTATGCTAAATGTAAATGTAAATCAAGAACACCATCCATGCATGCAGAGTACTTTTTACAGGTAATAATATGTTGTGAAATAGAGATTTTAATCTATGGTAAATAGAAATTTTATTAAATTGAAAAAAGCTATTTCATACTGCTGCATACTTTGCCAGTTTTAATTTGTTCTTCAATTCTTTAATGTTTCACTTGATATTTCATACACCTTTCGTAGGAGAATCTACAAACCATTTCATTACTATAACTTTAAAAGACAAAATTTGTATCAAACTTTAAAAAAGTTGTCAATGAAAGCAAATTCATAAGTGAATATATTCTTGATTTCATTCATCCTTTTTATAAGGTTAATCATGTCGAAGAATTACACATGAGTTTGATGAAAGGCAAAGTTTGCAGCAAAGTTAAATAAAATCAGGAAATTGAAACCGGAGCTGGAGCAGAGACACACAGTTCTCACCTGTGGGAGTTACAGCCGCTGTCGTAACATCTGCAGAGAAACCACCACCATGGGGTTAGAGGTCACAGGTAAGAGGTCATAGATCACAGTTCAAGATGAAAGACTTTCCCTTAGGTATGCACAGGTATAGGTATCTGCTAAAGGTTCATGCTTTTCTTTAGTCTAAAGGATATTGCATAATTGGCACCTTGGAATACAGTACAGTACAGATTGGTTAATGAAAGTGAAAGTTGTTTGAATGTAAGGCTTACATGTATGTATGGAAGCTGTAACAATGATTGTACGCTTAAAAGCACCAGGGCCATATTGTGGAATACTGGGTCACCGTGGTAACTCATACTTCAACTGATTTGTATTAGATACTTCCCAGAAAATACGAAATGAGAAGTAAAAAGATTTCACAATATTTCTTATTGATGAAAAGTATATTTCTGTTGAATGGATGACACCTTGCACTGGTCAACATGTAACTGTGAGACATTGACTTGCACACTGTTGACTCTCATTATGGATATGATGAGAATTGGCCAGTACTGTACCTTATGATGCATGGTTGCCATCAATGAGGTATGGATTACAGTGAGAATCACACATACAAATGTTCAGTCATGCTTAAGAAGTGATATTTCATGGAAGGATAACAATGCACACATGTAATTACATGTACATGTACACATGACTTCCTTGTCAATGCTATTCCACTATCTCGAGTTCTTAATTTCTGAACTGCCCTATTTCCTAAATGTCCCATCCATACAATATATATAACACTTCCTTACATGTAGCTAAGTAAAGCCCTTACAAATCCTGATGGTGTTATAAATTCTCCCTGCACATAATTAGCATGACAGCTAACATGATGTACAATTTGGGTGGCCATGACCTAGGTTGTACTGTTCTCACACCAATGCTTCAATGATCATGGTGCATATTCTCCCCACTGTCAACTTAAACCCGTTTTACAGGGACCTGAGTAAGCTACATTATAAATACTTGTGACACTGATCATGGTGCACATTCTCCCCAGTGTTAACTCACCTGCTTTACATGGCCCTGCATATGCCACCCTGATGTCCTGCTGGTAGCGACAGGCGATCACCCTCATCTGACACTCATCCGCAAACGTCTGACCATCAGACCCACAAACCTGTAAAATTGGAATTTGTTCACAATTTGTTCAGGCATCCTTAATTTTCAAAGTAAAATGTAACTGCAGTTGTCTCTTGCTTGCTCTTACAGACCTAAAAGAAATACTTCACAAATCTTTGCTAAGCAAATATAGAAAGTTAAAAGTCAACAGCCCTTCAATTTTCTAAAAGTCATTGCTTCAAATATCGACCCAGCAACACCCTAATCCATGTTAATAAAGACATCTCTCAGTCAATCTTTCAATTAGTACTTTCTATATCATAATAGGGAAAGAAAGAATTTCACACCAAAAGCAAAGACCATGCAATGTCCAACAATACTATTAGCATGTACAGTGTAGTACCTCCTTATTCTCACTAGTCACATACATGTAACAAATGTATATACAAGAGAGCTAAAAGCAGCAGCTTGTGTTTGAAGACTTACCCTCCAATCCACTGGCATCTGATGTGTGTAAGAGTGAAGAAGGTAGCACAGAGCACAAACATTAACAGCAAGGACAGGCAGAGAGAAGCAGCACACAAGAACCACTGAACAACATTGCCTTTTTGTTACTTTAACAGTACAATGTAGGTACACATACAGAGTACAGAAGCAGAGTTGTAAGTAATGTTATAAGCAAGAAGGTTATAAGGAAGATTATTCTACTTGTGTTAAAAAAAGTATATCTATATGCAAGCACTTCTACCGCCAAGGACTATCTTTTCAAAAAATAACAGTAAGGATTCAAGCATTTATGTAAGCAAGGAAGTTATGTCAAAAGATAGGCTGGAGTAGTGCCACATTCCATTGAACTAGCATCCTCTTCTATTCACAAATGATGCATACAATGTATAGTTGGTAACATTGCCCATATCGGTAAGGAACATGAGACTACATGTACTTCACAGAAATTAGTAGAGTCAATTAGTAACTGTTCAAGACTTCTTTGCATGCAAAATGTTTTAAATTAGTTTCCCAAGGAATTGTCATGAGTTCAATACCTTAGTTTCGATGGTACCCCTCTTGCACTCTGTGGGACAGACACACTGTGCCACGTCGCGGCTCATCTTTTTACAGACGGCCCCGTACTTGCACATCAGCTGGTCACATGACTCAGCCACCTCGGGCTCTCTCTGGGTCGCTGTTGGATCAGGGGTGAAGAGCATATTATGGGTAAGAGGTGAACTGCATCATGGGTCAATGAATGAAACAGAATGTTCTCACAACTTGGCAAGCAAAGTCCTTTAGGATGACATTGTTAGTTTTAGAAAATATGTTTGATTACTTTGATCAAGTTGAAATTGATTAAACTGTACACACTGTTAGATTGTAAAACCCCCTTTCCACTAGATGGCAGTCGTTTACTGAGCAACCAAAATTGGCTTTCTGCCACCCTTGACTTGATAATTTAAATATATGTATGATGCACAATGTTCAAGAATCATTCAAAAGAACAAGATAGACAAAATGTACTTCAGCTATGAAAATTTGAGTAACATGTCAAATACTTGGTTGCTCAGTAGTCACAGCCTATAGTGGAAAGGTGGTGCAAGAATATATTTGTATTGATATTTTGATTGTTCTACAACTAATGAAATAATGATGAACAAACCTATCTACACAATGAAACATACATGTGTTACCTATAGGTGTGTGTATTAGTGGTGAAGTCGGATAAAGAGAGAAATAATGCACACTAAAGCCGACAGTTGAGAAGCAGAGTTAGCGTCTATTCTAGCGGAATCACCTAATAGATACCTTTTCTTTTGTCCACACAGAGCAAGACAATCATCCCTTTTCTCCATAGTGAGCAAGTCTTCACCAATGATATGCAGAGGGTTTTTGGAAGGTACCACTCTTAGAAGGGTGTGTTTACAGGAGAAGACAATCACCCCTAATCCCAATAGTGAGGGCTTCACCAAAGTTTTTTCTGGCAGGTACCGATTTGAAGAGGGTGTGTTTACAGAAGATGAAGGTACCAATTTGAAGAGCACGTCTTCAAAGAAGAAAACAATCACCCCTAATCTCAATAGTGAGAAAGTCTTCACGAGTGTTTTTCTGGAAGGTACCAATTTGAAGAGGGTGTGCTTACAGAAGAAGACAATCACCCCTAATCTCAATGGTTAGAAAGTCTTCACCAGTGTTTTCTGGAAGGTACTGATTTGAAGAGGTGTCTTTACGGAAGAAGACAATCAACCCTTCTCTTGATAGTAAGAAAGTCTTCACCAAAATGAATGTTTTTCTGGAAGGCACCAATTTGAAGAGTTTGACTTTAAAGAAGAAATGACAATGACCCCTAATCTCAATAGTGAGAGGGTCTTCACCAAAGTTTTTCTGAAGGTACCAGTTTGAAGAGTTTCAGTACACAGAAGATGACATCGACCCCTGCTCTGAATAGTGAGGAGGTCTTCACCAATGTTCTTTGGAAGGTACCACTTTGCATTGGGTGTGCTTGGCTGGACTGTGTGGCTAGAAGAAAAGTTGCAGGAAAAGCAGGACGACTCACGCTCTCGGCAGCCCGTCGGTCCCATGACCTGACCCTTGCGGCAGCGATCACATTTCATTCCTGACACTCCGGGTTTGCACACGCACTTGCCGGTCATCTGATCACAATCGTCACGGACTGAGCCACCCTTAGAGCACTCGCATGCTGGCAGGGTGAAAGCCACAAGGCATGCACATCAAACAAAACTGCCTACTGTGCACAATTATAAGGAAATCAACTGGCTACTACTACATACACGACTACAAGACTGCACAATTGGTGTCTCAACAGCCATTCTGCAGATGTAACTGCCACTGATCTGGGAAAATCATTGTGCGAAACGACAGGAAAAGAGACGTTGCTGCAATACTCAATACGATGCCATGCGGTAGGTAAGCAGGAGAAGAGAAAGGTTTGAAAGCTGGACCAATTGTGCTCAAGACATCAAAGGCATTTGTACAAACATCCAAAAACGATTTACAACTGTAAGCTGCACCTGCATGATACCAACATCAGTATTGGCACATCAAAATCACTTTTCACTTAATAGCAACAAACAACTGAACCTTAAGAAGAGAGGAAAAAGTTTGTCTAATTTTCACCAAGCATTTCAATGAATCAAGACTAAGAATTGTTCCTTGCAAGACCTCCAGGTTTGATTAAATATATATGGCATCAGATATACATTGAAAATCAAAATCAATGCAATGTTGGTGTCCAAAGTAGTGTAGGCTGAATTGTTGTGTTAATGACTCACGTGTGCAGCCGATCTTTCCATCCTGCATGCCGCGGAAGTTCCAGAATCCCGGCTCGCAGCGGTCGCATTTCTTGCCGCCCACGCCAGGTTTGCAGCTGCACTGTCCGGACTGGGAGTCACACGTCTGTGCATAGGAGCCCAGAGAGTTGCACTTGCACACACCTAACGGACGCAAATACAAAATCTATAAGTTAAAGAAACAGTACCATAAGGATTGTTTGTCAACTCAGGGCTTAAATCTGGCGACTTGACCACAAAATTTTCAACACAAATACATAACATATCAATTACCATGTTTCAGTAATATGTGTAGTTTCACAAACTTTTAAAGTCTACAAAAGTTGGATGAAGAATGCTTCAGTTCATGATGGCCACCTCTCTACATTGTTTTTTGTACCGCAAAAAACTTCATGATTTTACTTCCTTTTGGCTGCGACAGTAAACAGAGCAGTAAGTTTAAGATTAGTGTAGACTTACTTGGACAGCCAGCGAAGCCAGCCCCTGCTGCAGGAGTCTTGCCATCAGGACAGCACTTGTAGGTGGTTTCCTTACAGTCCTTCTGAGGGGCAGGGGGGACTGGGGAACAGCACACAAACCATGAACATGATAGTCTTACACAAGGTGAGGGACTGGTTGTCTAGCTGACTGAACACATTTCCGAACAATATCATGTTTGACCATACTCAAAATAGGGGACAAAATTCAACATTTAAATTTAATATCTAATATTCAATGATTAAAAGTAATATCTAAAGACATCAGCATCCATGTTGCATATTCAGTATTGCAATCCCTTGGGTCTGGAATCTTACATGTATTTTCTATGTACCAACTGGAGAATGGTCTGGCTTTAGAAAGAAAGCATGCTTAGAGATCTGGTTGCTCTCTGAATGTACATGAGTTAAGTGTCCTTCCTGGCACATATCATTGTATGATGTTTCACTATGGTAGCAGAAATTTGTTCTTTCATAAAACAGCCAGCTTTACATTACAAAGCTTTTACATACTATAACACTGCAACATATTAGGAGAAGCAGCTATGGCAGAAGAGTTCAGGGGAAGAAGAACCCATCTCATGCAGTCTACTTCCCTTAACCAAGACACACCTCCCACTTTATGGATATACAAGCGGGGGTCGGGGGAGGAGGGGCTTGAGTACTGCTGCTACAAAACTACAAAATCGACAGAACAACTGTACTGTGCAATTTTCTCAGGATTATTTGCATGATTATTGTTTTAAATATTCTACATGTAGTAATGTATTCTTTCACAAGAGCCTCTACTTGTGTTTGGAAGGACAGCGATCTTATTTAAAACTGTATTTCTTCTTCTTTTGAATGAATTATCTAGAGATCTGTGCTAGTTTTCTATTACAGGAACCAAAATCTAAACAAAGTTAAGTGATTAGGGCCTTTGTACATTCATGCAAACGTACTTCAAGGCCCTCCATCTCCCCATGGGTGTTATTAGCGCCCTTGGATATGAGAGAACACACACTTACCATCCGAGAAAAACTGTTGCCGAAACACTTTCACTAGGATGCAAATGGGAGGTCACAAGTGAGAAGAAGATGAGGTGGGTGTGTCAGTTCCCACGGTAACAATGACTCTCCACACAGACTATTACCTTTGACATTTTTTACTCTTCAAACATTACTGTTACAGTAGCTTAGTTGACATATGGCATCACTTAAGCTCTTGTTGGAGCCTGCTTGTTGATAGACAGTTTCTTTTCAGCAATATCATTTTGCAGTCTGGTCTAGCCTCAGAAAAAAACACTTTGGCACTTTGACACAACTTTTGAGCATTGGACATCATTCTGATATGCTAATCCTTTGATTGTCGCATTTGTAAAGTATAGACGATAGTAATTTTGTTGTAAAATACAACTTGTAGAATTTGGGGCTATTATCAATAAAATTGGAATGACTCGGCAGTTGTTTTTGCCGCTAGTTTAATTCTTAGAGAAAAAAAGCTGTTGTGTCAGCAGTTTTTTATGGTATTTTGTTGTGACAGATAATGGTTAATCTATACTTCACCACCACTGGCATGCACACTATAGGCCACCGTAGGCACCTTATGTGATGCAGACGCGAATGAGCATTTGAGCTGGCAAAGTTAAGAGAACTCTTGATTAAAAGGTCTTTTAAATTTTAAAAAGAATGGAGATTCTGGAGTTCAGAGATTTAATGGTTGTTCGTTTAGTATAACAAATGAAAGACGAGGAATGGCGGAAATTGGTAACATGTCCTGCAGTTTAAGAGAAATGTTTTTCAGCATCTGAGACCATCACCAATAATGACGTTTGTTACTTTTCCGTATGGAGAGTCAATGGTACCGAGTACAGATTGAAGAAAAGCAGTTGAGAAAGTTAAGAGAATTAGAAGTAGCTGCAAAAAGCAGGCTGAGCAAGACATGTCAGATTATAATGATTACTGTTACGGTAAGAAGAAAGCATGATGTATGTTATATTAAAGATGTTGCCAGGCATGTACCTCTGTCAGGACAGGGACCGTTACTCATCACTTGGATGTGTCTCTGCAGAGTGCAGGCGGCAAGCTTCAGGCGGCATTCGTTCTCATACGTCTTTTTGTCGGTGCCACACACAGGCTTGATATCCTAGAAACAACAAGGAGGAATACAGTTGTTATTTGAATTAGTATGACATTTTTGTACATGTAAAAAAGTAATCTAAAAGCATATTATCCTCCAATGCTATTATTCAATAACCATATTATACTTGATGAAAAAAGAAGTCAAATGTTCATGTTTCACCCCCCACATACACACACAAACACACACACACAAGACACACAGAGGCACAGAGGCAAACACACACACGCACGCATGCATACACACGCACACACACTAACCTTCACACACACATGTACAACCCCCAAACTTACCCCAGAACACTTGATCTCGCAGATACACTCCTCCCCCTCCGAGTCAGGGTCCATGTCCATGCACTTCCCACCAAAGCGACAGTTGCTTCCCTCGTCACAGAAATCAAACTCCTCATCCCCAGTCCCAGAACCCTCTGGTTCTTCTGGCGGAATTCAAGAGTCAATCGATTGCAGTAAGTACTACAGGTTAGTAAGACCTTACCGAGCTTACAGCAGCTGGTCTGTCTGGCTGGAAATGTGGTTTTGGTTAGTAAGTTAGTGTTGATACTATATGAGTTGAAATCTTTCATGACTTGCAAATCATTAGACCAGTCTAATCCTGTGTTTATCAAATCAATTATATGTCATCTTATACATGTAAAGTGGCAGTCATGGCACAGATCCAACATTTTGGAATCTTTTTTGAATATTGTTAACCTAAAGATATGATTTTCAACAGCTAGTTTTTTTTTTTCCAAAATCAGGTGATGTCATCCATTAAAATTACTTGCTGTGGCCTTGAATTCAGTGTGCAACAATGTGATGGCCAATAAAAGCCATCTTGTATCTTGTAACCCGTACCTCCGGATCCGGACCCTGAACCTTCAACTTCAACTGTATCTTCACACGGGCCTGGCGCCTTCACCACCACAGAGAGACCGTCCTGACACGCCTTCACCGCCAGCTTACACTCGCTGTTGTACGTAATCCCGTCGCTGCCGCAGACCGGGTCGTAGCGCGCCGGGCAGACCGTGGGACACTGGCACTTGTCGTCCACACACTCCTGGTAGGGCCCGCAATGAGCGCCGCCACAGTCCATGTCCTCTGCAGGGGTCAGGCAGAGTGGTGTTAAATACTTTCATCACGATATGACAGTCCATGAAAAACAGTCATGTAAGTTGTTCTGTAATTGTTGGACCCTGCGCCTGAAACAGTCCTTCATTCACTGTGCAGTAAGACTCTTCAATGCCAGTGACAATGGCTGATACATGTATTTGAAAACCTATGCCTGCTATTTGCATGCATATAGCAGAGTGAATGGTGTTTGTACATATTTGTATATAGTGTGTTTTTCTGTTTACCTGTCCTGTCTTGTTTTTTTAACTTATTGTAAAAATCAATTACACAATTCAGGGATGCATGCAGCATTTGTTGATTGAATAAAACTGTAAAACTGTAATCCTACAACCATGAACTGTTTCATCAGGTTGGTAAGTCCCGGAATAAAGAGACTCAAAGATACACAACCATGTGTCTGCCGATGTTACGATGACCATCTGTACGTACCACATGGCATGTCAGCGACTGCCCTGATGTGCTTCTGCTGGTTACAGGAGGCCACCTCCAGCTCACACTTGTTGGAGTAGGTTTTACCATCGGATCCACACACAGGGGAATAAACCTGCAAAACAACAAGCGGAATTAAATCATGTGTGTCTCTCTCTAACAGCAGAACAGTTAGTTAAAGAAAACAAAGTCGACCATCCTTTTTAATTTGCACTTTCGTATTGTATTAGCAAAATGGCAGAATACGATCAACAATATCAAATATAGACATATATAGATATAATTTCTACCAGTGGCCTGTAACTTTTCTTTGACAGTTTGAGAGAACAAAGAGCTCACCTCAATGCAAGACTTAGGGCAGACACACAGAGCCTCAACTGAGCTGCTGCTCTGGCAGATAGCTCCAAACCTGCAAGTTGTGTTCTCACAGCCATCTACAAAGGAAACATAGTTTTTATTAGTATGAAACGATGGAAAATACAAACCACCTGTACCTCTGGCCACATATCACCTTATGTACCACCTGCCCATGAAAGGTCACAGGCCAAAGTTCAAAATTACAAAGCCATCAGCCACACCAGTAGTTCACACTTGATGTCAAAGGTGAGAGTTGACAGGAGGTCAGTGACACCTTATCATATTGGTAGTGTGGAAATAGTAACGGCAGCTTCTTTGAGCCTCTTGCTTGAGGGAGGATGTGTGGCATTCCATTTCTAGAGCCTCTAGCATACCAGTGAATCTAAATTTACACCTAGTATGGCTTGTTTTTGAAGTTACTCATGCCTAAAATAACCCACAAATTATGGCATCAATCTTCACCCAAGTATTCTGAGATTTGGAGCTAAAATGAACCCCGAATCAAGAATCCCACATGCAGGAAACCTTAACCTGTGGCCTGCTAAGGTAACCATTTGACACCAAACTTGTATTGATTATAGGGTTGGGCAGCAAGGGCAAGGTTAAAGTTAAACCGATTGAAAGGACTTGTTTTTGGGGGGGATGGAATCTGCACTTGTTCCCTTACTTCCTGTGTTGGTAGATTTAGAGCCACTCTCAACAAAAGTAATGACTGCCTCTGTCGGTGAAACTAACTCGGCTGTGTGAAGAGTGGAGTATAGGTCACATGTTGTGCATTTAAGAACTAAATGTAATGTGCCATTTGTCAGTATATGACATCTTGGCTCTTAGCACCAGTGCGTGCATTGAAGAGTTTGACAAAAAAACAGTCAAGAAAGATTAAATACACAAACAAATGATGTTATCGATGACATACTTGTAGCAACAAATGCATGACATGGATGACAATGGATCTTCCAGAGAAATGAGTTAGAAAACAAACAAATGAGCACATGTAAGGTATAACAAACAAACAAACAACTGATGAATGGCAAAAAGCAACACATTGACATGGAAGACAGAGTATTGACACAACATAGTCCAACTTGCACCCTGGTCCTGAAAATCTAAACTCTGAATATTTTCTTTTTCTTAATCTTGCAGAGACAACTTGTAAAGGTGATCACCACCTATTTTGTCTCCCCTTTATGTATAATGGTAAATGGTAATGAATATAAAAGCATGAAAATATAAACTTTTGAGTTACATGTAGTTTTAGTTTTCTATTAACTCAATACTTCATTTTGTCGGGCTTTTACAAGATTAATTCTCCGTGTTCACTATCTGTAAAATACTAATAGAGACCTTAATAAAACAAACAAACTTACTGCAGAGCCTGTCGTCCACCTTGCGGATTTCCTGTTGCCTCTCGCAGGATTCGGCCTGCAGGTAGCACATGTTGTTGTACGAGACTCCGTCCGAGCCACACACCGGCTGGAATTCCGCAGGGCAGACCGTGTCGCACTCACACATGGCGTTACCCTCGATGACGGTACAGGTGGCCCCGAAGCCACACTTCACGTTTTCACAGAGCGCCTCCTTAGCTGGGGCTGTGGGGAAGGAAAAGGACCAAGACTTAACAACAATTCCTGTGAAATACAGGGGCATTTTTCCTTGATATCTCCTTAAGATTAACGAGAGTCAAAAGCTTTTTGAGTTGGAAAACAGTTTAATTTTCATTAATAATTTACCACCTCAGATGAATTTTCATGCTAAGAAGACTACTGGATTATTGCTATCTTGCGTACGAAATTCTACAGCTACTTTCTAAAGGCATCTTAATCTTCAGTCTATTAAGGTGGTCGACTATGGGCACGTAGTAAAGAAGAACCTTAAAGTTTTGCTATAAAATTTTATGGAAAACTTCTATTGCCACAATTAACTGGCAAAGACCGTCTCCTCTTTAACTGGCCCAAAATCCAATGAACTGTTCAACTAACCCCAACAACTGGTATAGGTTTGATGCCAAAAGACAGATTACAAAACTCCATTGGCTACTCACCACATTTGCCGTTGTATTTGACAATGATGGGCTTCTGCTCCTGGCACTCGGCCTGCTTGCGCTTGCAGTCGTTGTTGTAGGTGACCATGTTGTCTCCGCAGACGGGGACGTACGACTCGTCACACGTGATGGACTCGCAGCTGCAGTCCGCGTCCCGCGTGCGCGGATTGATCGTGCACTCCGAGCTGAACTCACACACTTGGCCAAAGCAGGACTCTGAAATGCAAACAAAGAAGACAGTGTGGAGGTCCTATCCTTTTAAAATCATCAAGTTATCGCCTTCAGTTAACAGCAAGATACATGATAGTATTGATACATGGTTGGCTGGTATTTGGCTTTAAGTGAGTAGTGTTTGGGGGTCAAATTCGACTCATTGTTGACTCAAATTCATTTTAATTCATAGTTATGGCCTGAATCAGGTCAGACTGCTTTCAAACATCAGCCAAACCTGGTGTTTGGTAACAAACTTGGGAGAAGGTTGTAAGTGTGTGACAGGGGCTTTACATTAAGGCAAAGGAAATAAGGTCTAAAGGGAAATGCTTACCTGCTTCCTCCACCACTAAGGTACCAGGTTTGATTTCCAAGTCAGGAGCGTCCTGAAGGACCTCCATCAGCTTCTCCTTGACGTCCTCGGGATTCTCTCGGGACCCAGGCGGCAAGACAATCTGGAAAATGACCTTGATGCTTCCGTCCTTGAACCCAATGATCTTGACTTCTCTGCCAGGGCCCAGGGAGGCTCCAAGCTGAAAACAACACACAAAAGGAGCATGTCAGTGGCATGTCTTGTGAATCTCACAGCGCTTAGCGTGTAGATATGTTATTGAACGATGTCCCAACACTGAAAAGCGCCCTCTAGCAGCTGCAGTACCGGTACTTACAGCATTTTCCAACTTGTCCTTGAGATCTTTGTACTCCTGTGAGGTTGGGTCTTCCAGAGCAGCCTGGAACTCGGCAGGTCTACGATCCAGCTCCGACAGAGCAAAGGTGCCTTCTACTGCCTTCCCCTTGGCTACAATCATAAGAAAAAAAGACAACAAGATTAATATGTATCTTAAAGATCTTACAACAAACATAAGAAAGAAATATCCATAAGGCATTGCCCCTTATTGTACTAATACTAATATCAACTTGTTAAGACATTCAAGTTTCATAAAATTAAGAAAAGAAAGAAGCTTTCATCTCTGTTCCTTTCAGTTACAATGAACATAGTTATATAAAGATTTCTGAGTAAAGAACTTTTCCCAAATGTATTAGTGCTTGCTTCCCTTCACAACAATGAAATGTTGTTCCACTGACCTGCGCTGTAGACCGACTCACAGCCCTCTGACCTGTCCACCACCTCCAGATCTCTCCCCGTCTCACACGCCTCCTTCAGCATCAGACACTCGCTGGGGTACGTCTTCCCGTTACTGGCACAGATCTGCAAGTAGGAAGAAGTTAAAAGCCATCCTCAACACTCATCTTATGGCCGAGAAATATCCTTTTTTTCATACATCAGAGCACGAAAGCTTCTAACGCACAAATAAACCATAGGGTAGGCAGCAATACAGTATCTTAACATGTAGGGCAATTTTATATTCCTAACTAAATAGTAGCTACATGTATCCAACAAAGCTTAAAATAGTATATCAGATGACATTAAAGATAACAGGTAAAATACAAGTACATGTGTAGAATATTGAAAAGGATAAATGATATTGACCCAAAGGCTATACAGTCTACTACATATGAAAGTCTTATATTTTTGTCTGTACTGTAATATATGCATTCCTTTAAGTAATCCTTACACTAGCCAATGGATCAGGAGCAGGGCAGTCCTGCTGACAGCTGCACTGTGGGTTCCTGTTGTCATCCAGGATACAGACACCCTTGTCACAAGTGAAGCCATCACAGGGGTCTGGGGACAAAAATCAGCATGTAAGATATAGAAAAGAGATAATAGTAAACTATATATGCTATGTCTACCAGCAAAATTTGCCCTTCAAATGGCAGGAATAGAGATTCAGAGGGTCATAATTTTACTATTTTCTTGGACGAGCTGGTACTCAACGTCAAACAAAATTGAGATGACAGAGAAATATATCAGGTTGGCTAGAACACTGCTTTACCATCATAAAGAAGAAAGGGATGTGAAAATTAATTCAGGTTGTTGTACTTACTGCATTTCCCTCTAAACCTTAGAGTGATCTCCTCTTTTTTGGAGCAGCCTGCTTTGTTCATCTCACACTCGTTCTTGTAGTCATTTCCATCGTCCCCGCAAACCGTGCTCTCAGTCTGCTCGTCACACGTCGGACAGACACACTTTGCGGTGGAGCCGTCCACGACACAGGAGCTGCCATATCTGCAGTCCTTACCATAGCAGGGGTTGGAGTCAGGATCTTGTACTAGGAAGAAAGTCAGACGCAAACATCAGAATAAACGCTGCAAAAATGATGGGACTACAAAACAGTTTGTGAATGAAAATATTCAGATTCCGACTTCAGACAGCTATAGTTGATAGAAAGACAATTAACAAGTTCTCTTGTTTTGTGTTGTTTAATGGTTTGATAGCATCTCCCATGGTCAACAACTGATGATGACTAGGTAGCTCCTGCCATTTCTTGTACTTTATTGAGTTTGCAATGGTTACATTTTACAATATACATTATTACTGGTACATACAATGTAACACAATGGTACTGTCAAAGTATCTTGCAATTAAGGTACGAGATTGTTCTAAACCAGTAAAGTGTATGGAACTTTGTGTTCTATCCTGACTTATCTAACTTTGTACGAGCCCTAACAAGTCCTATCAGTTGACAAGGGAGAAAGCTTTGAAGAACAAATCGCATTACCCCCCATATTGTGTGCACCTAATCAAATCTGGGCAGACAGTTATTAAATGGAATGGTGAAATTAGACTTCTTAACTCTTCCGGGCATTGAGGGAAATTGGATTCTCCTTTCCCCAACCTGATCAAACAATGACGAACCGGCTCAGACGTTACTCTTTGAAGTTGCATAATAAAATTTGCAGACCTTGTTTCCAATTTACTGTCTTTCGTATTTCTATTAGTGTCTGTGAACATGAAAGTACCAGGATTGTCAAAAGAATTCACATTTGCAATGTCGGCCAGTAATGCAAAATGAACTTTTTGTTTATGTACGAAATGACTTCGTATACTCATCCAATAAGAATGTCCAAGCTTGCAACTTGTCAAAAGCTGCTCAAGAAACAAACACAATGTACCTGTCTCCTTTGCTTACTAACACAGGAACCTGATGACATATTGATTTATTTCCTTGCTTTTCACACATTTTGAAGCAAAAATCATCAAGATAAAAACAGAGGATTCCTTCGGATGAAAAATTGGATCTGAATTACAATTACTTTATATCCCTTTCCTGAAATCTGAATAATAATTATAATTTACTTTCCTGAAAAGTACAGAGTGGCTTGACAGTCCAGATCAGCACAACTTCTTTCAAGTCTGAGTAACAAATAATACTGGTGTGTCCTCAATATTGAAATTCTTCCATCCTCAACTTACTGCATTTTCCCTCCTTCTTGACTGTAATCCTGGACTGTGTCTGGCATGACTTCAGCTCCAGGTTACACTTGCTGGAGTAGGTGACATCGTCGGAGCCGCAGACAGGCGCGATGACGCCACTGGAACACGTCTGCTCGCAGATACACGTCCCCTTCCCCGCACTGGTGATCTGTGTGGGGTCGCAGGTCGCACCAAAACCACAGAACACGGCTATACAGGGGTCTGCAAAGGAAGGGAGAAGGGATTTAATTCAGCATACAATTGTAGTCTTTGATGGTAGGATTTTAAATCTAAACTTTACTTAAAACTTAATATATATGTCTGGAGGGACAGGGTGTTGCCTTGGTCTAGGCAAGCCTCCCAATATGATGATGATGAACCTTATTGTTCCAACCTTCTGCCTGCTACCTAACCCTGCTAAACAATACAAATTTGGTACCAAATGACTACCTTAAAGCACACTGGAGCTTAAGTTTAATTGCAGCTGGCCATGAACAAGATTTACATGACTTGGTAAACAAAACACATTCTTGCATAAATGAAATATATATTGACCTTGATTACTTTTTCCACTTTGCCAAGAGAGCAAATAACGGCAATTGGGTAAATATGCATTTAATTTTGCATGGTGTAATCAGCGTAAATGTGGCTGTTAATAAATTGGAGGTACTTTGCAATTGTACCATATTACATGATTACCTCCCATGCCTTCATATAAGCAGACCTCAACAGGGAAGAAAATACACCCAGGGAAATAAAAAGACATGTCATGATAATTGAGCTGGTGCTACTGGATGCTGTATCCATGGAAACAGTATCCCTACTGACCTGACACGACCCCAAAGTATTAACCTCAGTCCTGATGAGCTGGGAAGTTTGTATTTGAGAAGCTTTGTGGTTCTAACTTTAAGGATGATATAAAATGGTGGTTTTACGACAATATATGACATGCAATGCCCTCCATTCAGTCCTCGATTAACACACAAGCTGGTGTGTTACGCTGAGGGGTAATTATACCAGCTATTCAGATATACATGTATGTGGCAGAGACCGATTTTCCTTTTAGTGCATATGATGTATGTATACATGTACCTTTCTAGTTATGAAACTTGTACAAAACAACACTGTTTTTTGGAAAAAATTAAACATATGCATCTTTCATAATCCCTTCTAGTAATATACAATGTATGTACTACATATAGTTGGACTTTTGACTCCATACCTGACTCAGAAAACTATCGAGATTGTGATCTGGTTTCAAGCAAAACAAACCACTACAAAGTGCTCTCCTCCCAGGTGGTCCACATTCCTCTGACAGCTCACCTTGACATCTCTCTGTAATGAGTCCCTCCATCTCTCACTATCTCCCAGGGACATCTCAAACAACCACATGTGGACCACAGACACAAGCTTCATGCTAAGATGACAATCATGACATGTCAACGACCAGTAGGGCATAAGAAGCTCTGTGGTGGTAAAAGTGGTGCTTGTGAAATTGTCCTTATAAAAAATTCTAACTTAGTACATTGCCTACGTAAGCAACAAGATGTAATAAATGTACATTCAAAGTGTTTGGTTACATTTTAAGATACTTGGTGAAAAAACTGAAATGCTCGCAATCTGTCTTCTCTTGTTGTAACTTAGTGTTTCAAAATCTGTGTAAAATTCTTAACAATTTTAACAAATACAAATTCTTAACAAATACACTTCATCATGAAGATTGAAACTTCACAATTTTGGCTGTTACTTCGCCCCACTGAAAAGAGCTTACTAACACTTACAGTATTGTAAGTATACTGTTGGATAATTGTTTACAGTGGTTTAAGTTTAGACGTGAGTCCTTTCTGCATCGTCTCATCATGTGACAATTAGCCGACCTCGTTTTACAAAGGTTCCGTAAAGTTAAAAAAGGGAAGTAACGCCGCACGGAATTGCGCTTTTCTTTACCAGTGGGGCACGGAGTTGACTTTCTTCACCAGAGCGCGAGACTGAGATTGAGTGTGAAGCTTTTCTTGCAGGTGTGTCCAAAACACAGTGAAAGCTTTGTGCCTTAAACCGCACAAAGTCGTGAGAAACTGTCCCGTACAATGGAGGAGTTCTCCGCCAGTAAACAGTTGGCATTGTCCCCAAAACCGTGCCTGAAAGTCGCTTCTGTGTACGGATAAACTTGTAGTTCAGTGGCATGCTCTTAGCACATGTGTTCAGGAGTTAGGTACACACGACACACAATGGGTGAATGGACATGGAGACCCATGCGGCCAGTAAAACAATTAACCTCTTCAAACTGATACACCTGCCTCATTTTACCATGACTGTTCCAAAGTCTTACTTTTAACTGTAATTTTGGACACTCTACAGTATTATATGCTGCAGAAAAGAAAACAAATATGATGGGGCTATGAAAATTCTTTGAAAATTATTTTATAATTTGCTTTCTGGCACTTTCCATCTAACATTACACATTATATTATCCTAACTATGACCATACTATTTTTAAGATGTTGTCTAAACCTCTTTTATGCTTTCTTCACTTTCAATGGACAAATCACAATTATTCTCTTAAATAATAAGCAATTTTTAAAAATAGAACCCTAGCTACAAGATTTACACAATACAGGACCGAGTGTTTGTAGAAGAATTATACATGCATATCCAATGAAAGACAAGTTAAAGTTAAAGTAAATCTCAGGGAAGATACAATTGTACATATTGCGACGTGGGAGGTGAACCATGAACAAAAGTAACTTCAGAAACATGTAATAGAGAAGTCGTACCAGACAATAACACACTACAGCAAGTCAATCAAGCGTCAAGTTTGAAAGATTTGTGGTCAATAATCGCATAATGCGGCTCCAACCTGTCAACACCAAACATGTGTGCAACAGGTGCAAACTGGAAAACTTACAAATATCTTCACTTAGAACAGCCAGGACTTTTGGCACCTTTCCAGTACTTCATGTTCCTTAAGTGCTCCTGTCCTTGTTGAAAATAAACAAATGATGTACCCCCAGGGCCACCTACTAATACACACCAAGTCCAAAGTTCTGTATCCAACAGATTAGACTAATAAATAACCTAATAAAGTAGGGTTTTCAACTGTTTATCTTTATTTCATAGAGTTCACCAGTGCATGTAACATTGAAAATCACTCCTCCTAGCTTTTGTTTCAAAGCTAGAAAGTTTGGTTCCAAAATAGAAAGTCTATAAACAATAAAGTAGTAGTCAGTCTTTGATAAACGTAACTATTTTTTAAAAAAGGATACCATTACCATATAAACCTTTTAAAATCCAGACTGTAGAGTACAGGTTAATTAAAAGTCAATCCTAGGCCTTGACAGGGGACATGAATTAACCTTTAGTACTACAGTCTGTACAAGTGGTCAGTGATTAACGATCTCTTAATTAGCTATCCAAGACTCCAGGTGTGAAGCTGTAGGATTCCTGTCATTCCCAGGTGTACAAAACGACAGACCATCAATCAGAGAGATTCCTACGTACATGGTTAATTAAAGGCAGAGCATTATTACCGACTTCTAACTGTTGAATCAAACTCCGTCGGGATTACATCTTTTGCTGTAATCTTGTGTAAACATTATCGAATATTATATTCAGTACAAGAAAATTTTTTGCTACAAGACTAGTAGTGAAAAAAAATTCTTTCAGGTGCAAGTGTAACTGAGGACATGAACTTGTGTTAAAATTCAATAACTTCAGACAGGCCACAAGTTTGTCATGTTTCTCGCTAGAACTTTCTTCCCTGTCTTCAATATACTTCCCTAAAGTTACCCCCCCCCTCAGAAACTTCTCTTGGCCGGATCGGGACCTGTCTTTTCTACAGTATTCAGGATCTGGACCCAACTCATCAGTATTCAGATCTACATGTACACTCTCAGTAACTGACTGTGGTACCGCTGATACCAATAGTTCTGCTGCAGACTTTAATCTGAAATCCTGAAGGGAAAATGTCCTTGTCTGTGCTAAATGTCATCAGTCTGCAAATCCATTGATTTTCTGTCGCTCAAGCAGGTCGATCCTATCAAGGTGTCATTGTGCTTTCATACTGTGTCAAGTCTGGAACAATTTGTCTCCGTTTGAGACAGCGTCTCGCAGATAACCTGTTGGTTCCCTGACGGGTGCAGATTTGGGGAGGGAATTGTATTCGTTGACCCTCGGGGAGGGCGACAGACGAAGATCATTCGTGTTTATAACTTTTGTCTGCTCTGTTCAGCACTTCAGACTGATGAATAGCTACAACTTGTTACTTTTTAACATGGGTTACTTGACTCTTTGTACTTTCTTCAGCTTAGCTTAACTTTAAAAAGATTGGCATTTCTAATGGCTAAAATGAGAATCTTGAGCTGCTAGATACTATAAAATTGTAAGTGTGCTTCATAATTTTTTCTGAATCACTAGTTCTAGTGGTGCAATTTTGTTAACCCAATACCTTCCTATAACTTTTGCTGGTTTGCCCTAAACATTTTGCAGTAGTACAAAAACAAAGAGATGTTCAGAAATCAGTATCCCTACCACCCTTCAAAGCAAAAGTATGTACATGGTGCTGAATCTTTGGTTGCCTTCCACTGAACACCAACATGACCCCCCTCCCCAAAAACATGTGTATGACTATGAGTGGGTGTGTTTACACAGTGTAGAATGGCAGCCCTTGTTTCGTCTACTCTGCCATTTGGACTTAAGTCTCTCATCGCTGTAAGAAAGTACAGATTTTTATGACATGAAAAAGAAGTTTAAACACATAAACAGAGGGTCAGCGCACATGTCTGTATTGTTTTTGTAAGGGAACATACAACAGCGTACAAATGCAAACCAGACAACTCTAAGTCTTCTCTTCTTTCTACTTTACATCCAAGTCTCTGTATTGAACTAATCCAAGAAAATTGAAAAGTGCATTGGCATGCCTGCGGATTAAGCTGCGAGAACATCTAGAAAACCTGATCTTCCTTCTTAATGCCCTTGACAGTCTTCAAGGTTGCTCAACATTTTCCACTGCATGCTGCTACTGCAGTATACTTGAACTGAGAGTAATTTCTTGTTCACCACTCTGTCTGTAACTGTCTTGGATAAAGAATAACCACCATATTTGCAACCTGCAGGTATTATATATTTTGAGATTTCCAAAAATGAATTATTTAGAAAGCTAAAACAATACATGCTTGGTAATAAGAAACACATACTAGAATTGCAGAGAACAAAAATAATTATTT